CCAAAATGGTGGCTTTCATATTCTATGTGAAGAAGAAGAGCGAGCATTTCACCGTGAGCGTCCCCTAAAACCCCCCATGAAATTAATTTGCTTATTTCTGTGATGTAAACAAACACAGCACTGAAGCCTTACAAATGTGAGGCCAGTCTGACCACTGTCATCATGGGAACACAGCCCAGGGAGTCGGTGTAATACATTTGTACAACAATATTGCAACGTCATGGTTAATAGGGACGGTCATGAAGTGAACAATGTTCTGAAACAAAAAGATACAAATATGTTTGATTTCACTGTGCATATTTGGTGGGGGATTCTAAAGGCAGGCCACATGTTTTTCAAGACCACTGACAGATTCTAGATACGTTATCAGATGATGTGCTTGTGGCGAGGACACATCCTGTAATACCCACCAGCAATGAATGCTAGTGGCCCTTACCGTTTGCTATGTACAGAGTAACGGCTTCTTACGGCTGAACATTGGTTGCGTCACGGTGACAGGTACATATTATCACATTTATACGCTATATAGTAAAACTCTTGTCAGTCATAGATAGCCAGTGTTTAGATGAAGTAATAGAAAATGAGAATGTGTTCAAAGGAATTGTGTTAAATGTGAATTTACGAATTTATGAGCGTTTGATTCCAAACAGAGTTGATGCTTTCGATTTCATTTGTTTATTATTATCTAAATCTGTCGTAAAGAGAAATTCAACTTTGAGATTTTTGTTCACATATTGCAATTTGCCCATCATGGATGAGTGTTACAAAAATGTTTGATAATTTCATCAAATATGTCACTGTTTACATCGAAGTCATGACACCTGTACTTCATGTACCTGGAAGACCAAAAAGAGCAAACCGTATCACAAAAATCAATGCTAGCAAACCATATCAACTATTTAATTGAAATTATCCACACCCAGTTACACACATACATATCGTAATACTTGTCACCTGGTACCACATTGGTTTGTGAAATGTATGTTGTTTTGACAAATATAACCAGACATTATTTCCATTTGATGCCAAAGCATACCAAATAACATCGAATTTTTCCACAATTCTTGTAACATTTGGGCCACTTTTTGGAACAAGTTATTACATAATTATTAAGTTATCAAAATACGATAAATTTGACCCCAAAAAGCATAACGTTTGGGTTTACTTACACAATTTGTGTGGCAAGACAAGAAAAGTAGTTTCAGCTGTAGCCAGCCATTACTCTGTACCTAGCAAACCATAACGGCCACTAGCAAACAATGCGTATTACAGGGTGTGAGGTAGGGATGCCTCATCACGCCTTGTTGATTCTGATTCTGAGCCACATATTATGCCTGATACCCAGCGTTCACACGCACTTGCCCCTGAAACCAAGGTGCTCACTACCCTGATATTTTTCTCAAGGTTTTTTCTCCACGTTTTCCCTTTGTTCCAAAACTACTTCCACCGTCCGCTAGACTATGCAAAAGGAGATACCTCATGCCTCGCATTTCTCTATCTCTCTCACCAAAGAGTCTCGATCTAAGCTTAGATCGGATCGTAAGATCGGAACCGGGCTATGATCGGTCTAAGATCGGTTAGTGGAACGGGTGTAACTTTTAGCTAAGACGATTGTAAGATTGGCATAACTTGCTAAGATTGATCTTAAATAATATCAGTTAGTGGAACGGCACCCTGCAGTTTTCAAAGAACGTAACAGTTAGTTGTCTGTGTGATGTCCTTAGAGACTGCAGTTATGCTTAAGGATGATCTGAATCTATCCCTTAAGACTAATGAAAGCAGCAAAAACCAAACATGCATGTAGTATATATGTACTATGCAAGTGTAAAATATCCTGAACACAGAGTTAAACTGTTTCACCTCATCCCAAGCAATCCTTGTTTTTTCAATAGGATTATATTGCTGGAAGATATATCAGCTACCAGTTAATATGGTTAAGGTGAACTAATATTAGAAAAACTTCCTAAAACATGTTTTTCCTTATTTCTTGATGCCACAACTAGGTCATCTGTCATCGATGTTATATGGAGACTTTTGACAATTTGTTTCCATTTCTAGTATAACAATAGTTGCTAAATGTTTCCTAGTATCATATATAAACTAAATATAAATATTGTATTCATTCTAAGTGAGTCATCAATAAACAGTCTATATAGCTGATACAATGGAAAATAATTCTGGCCTTGTATCACTCATAAAAACCTATTCCAAAACATCTTGTTAATAAAATACATGAGGACAAGAGACAAACTTGATATTACTATCTAAGTTCTGTTCAATTTTATAAATACATAGTCATTTATTAGATGAGCAGGTTGATACACATTTTCATGTCTTAGAGTTATAAGTAGCAAGTATACTAGTATACTAGTATACTAGTAGCTATTTACAAGGGAATCAGTGTCTGAAGTATCTATAGTATGTGAGTGTAAGAATGTCAGCACCAAAACCCTGCTCCTCTTTTATGTTCAGAAGTGATGGGAATGTGTTAAAATGTTAAAATAAAACTTAGCATTGCTTTACAATCAATAATTAATTGATGATTTCTCACAAATGAGTATTGAAAAACTATAAATTCACACCTGTCTTTCACAAAAAACATGATAGAAAAAACTCAGATGATATTTTGCTCTATTCCTCAACACAAACACATCTACCATTTGTCTAGAACAACAATTATAACAGCACTAAGCCTGGACTCTTTATCATCAGTCTTTGTCTGCTTATTCCTAAACCATTCTGTTCACATATGAATTAGATATAAACCTCAACTATTTGCCTTGCACAGATTCCTTAATTAATTATTTGGTTGAAATCTAAAACCAGTCAATCATAAATTAAACTGATTAACTGAAACAATTTTGCATCTCCAGCTAGCAGACATTTCAAGCATTTTATTGGTCTCTTCCCAATCATATATTCTATCAGATCAATTAATTTCAACTCATTGTGGTGGACTAAAAAAAATACTTATCAAATAAAATGCTTACAAAATGATTTGCTTGGTACATGTATACGGTGTCGTGCCGGGAAGGCTAAAATGTATTTTTCAGATGTCCCGGAAAAGGCTAAAATGTATATTTCGGATTTCAACTGTGAAGTGTTGGGTATTGTGAAACGTTCTGAATTATAAAGAATTCATTTAAAATTTTGCAGGCGTATTTTGCAGATTAATGTTTAAATGATCTAAATAATGGTTATAAATCATGGTTACATAGTGTATAAATGTTTTTGTATGAACTTGGCTTTGAGCAATTCAATTCTAAACATTGATAATTTTGGTTGTAAACTCGAAGTAGATTGACAAAAATGTGTTTTACTATTGAAAATGACAATTTAATTTAAAAATTAAAAAAATCGTAAAAAGAAGAATAGATGTGAAAATGTGTAAATTACTTTATTATTTCTATATGTGCCAAAATTAAAGAGCCTCCATGTTAATACTGTTTTCTTTGTAATTTGTCAGAGTATGGCGAGCCGTGTTAATTCAGCCATAACATTGCATTGCAAGAACTGGGAAGGTTACGCTCAATGAACCGTGAAGCATCACGATTTTAGCCTTCCCGGCCATGAACCCATGTATACTGCAACCTAGACTAATTAAATCTGGTTGATTACTTGAAACATGATTAGTGAGAAATGAAGTCATCATTAGCAATTTAATTAACATGATTAACTCATTGCCAATTAGAATCCAAACATCAATTAAGCTGTTACAGCATACTAATCAGTTGTATCCCACTTTTCTGACAGCTTATAATCACATAGGTCATGAATGAGTGGATTACTAATCCCTCAGGTGATACCTGTCCAATGCAACTGCTTAACCCTAATACGGTATGAGCCTAAACACAAATCATTGTAACTATAATTTGTTTTTTCATGACATAGTGTTACATCCTCAAAATAAGCAGAGGAATTGAGCAAGTCTCTATTTTAAGGACATTTTCTTTATGATATTGACGACAATCTCAAATACCAGACCAGACAAAGAGTCTTTTTACAATGTAGTACAGGAAGTCTGGTGTGTGTGTGTTTTGTTGTTTGTTTGTTGTTGTTGTTTTATTTGTGTGTTGTTGTTTTTTGTTTTTTTGGGTTGGGGTTTTGTTGGTTTTTGGGGGGTTTTTTGTTTGTTGGCAGCGAGTTTCCTAACTGGATAATCAGAGTTGAGGCAGTTCATTCAACCCTATGATGAGCCTTCCACATTAAAAACAGCAATGATGTGACCATTGATATCATTGTGAATGTTTGGGTTTTTTTTCAAAATATACCTGCTGTTACTCCACAAGTCATTCAATAAGAAACACATGAATGCTGAAAATTTCAGCTTCAGACATATATATTAGTTTCATGGGCGAAACTGGGACACTGTCTCAATGTTATGTTGGGGAAATCATTTATTCATGGGCATATGAATCTATATCACATTTGCACGAGATGTGTAACATGTTGCCACGATGGGCCCCTCCATCACCCGATTTAAACCTACTGAAACGACCATTTGACTGGGATCCCAATCCTTAGATATACAGCATGTATATCTCACACTTTAAACAAGTATAGTTCTAGGTGCCTAGCAATAATCACTACAGCTATACTTGGAGTGAAAATACTTCCAAAATGCGCCAACTGATGTCCGTTCAACAAATCGATAGTGAATGCCTATTCGACCCAGAACAATATTAAACACTTTAGATATCTGATGCTTAGAATTCGAAAGCTCCGAGATAAAAAAAAAAATGCTGCAGCTTCATCCAACTCATCATCGATGTCGAACTCGTCAGCAGTGACGGGGGCGGATAAGGAATGAAAACAATACACAATGTGTGACACAGTATTGTCGCAAAAACGGCAATTTTTTAAGTATACACACATACTTATATGGAATTGAATAGAAAAAATATCTAACATAGTTTCTAAATGTCTTGAATTTTGTTCCTATGATACAGTGTGAGCGCATTACAAACTTCGTCATAGAAAATCGGCTATCGACTACTTACCGTCTGTCAAACGCCACCATCTTGAATAATCCCACTGAATGTTGTAACGAGGCTTTCTATTGGTTCCACAGTTTTACCCACAATTCCACAACAGGTTGTTGTTGACGCATAGCAACAATTTACAGTATGGCTGACCAGCAGGAAAGGTTTGTTGAGAATTTATTGCAGAATAATTTACGATAATATGTATATTTGTTTATAGGTTTCAATTTGATAGTATGCATGTTTGTGTTAAATATGAAAGGTGCCTAGATTTGTGTTAAAAGGTAACATCTAGAACGCATTGGCGACGAAGACAGTGGATTTTATATATAACTGCTCTTACCTTTTTTTCCACCTTCTTAATTTTAATAAAGATAAAGAAATGTACGTGTCAACATCAAAGTCAAACAAAGACATAGGTTTAAAGTATCCTGCTTAGTGTATTGTTACAGGTAAGCAAAATTAACTTAGTAGTCCACAAGGAAATATCACTAGTCCTTCCTGAAATTTCCTAGTTACACTAACTTACAGACTGTATCATCGTGTTGTGTGGGTTTTCCGACGCTTAAGAACATCAATTGTGTTCTCACTAATCGCACAAACAACCATCATCATCATCATCAACCTAGCATCTGCGGAATGCAACACATACCATTATACTGTGATAAAACACTGCTGTCCGAAAATGTATGGCGTCCAAAAACATATAACTTGATGATAATAAATGAAAACCCAGGTAAATTTCTCCGGCTATTCACATGAAATGAAAAAACATAACAATTTATGATATTTGAGAGTGGCATTGGTATTTGAAACTGCAATCTGATGTAAAAGCATTACTCCTCAAGGACATGTTAAATTCTTTGTGAGTGAACATGGGAAATGTCATTAGTCCACCTCGGAATATTTTACTTCTCTCAGACTAGCAGACTTATGTTAATTTGGAACCCTGGAACTACTTTCTTTCACAAAAACCACACACCAATCAGATGCTAATCAAGCAAGGCATCTGTCATTGTGCATATCATTGGGTAGTGAACTTTCTTTTCACAAGGACATTTTCATGCCTAGCTAACTAAACATTTGTTGTTTTCTTTCTGATCACACAGGCGATTATAAAGCATTTCACTAACTTTATCCTAAACATAAGCCATTGTTCAAAGCTTTGCAATACCTGTGTGAAGTAACACCCCTGGCTGAGTAAGCACTGACATCTTAAAATGTACGATGTCCTAAAATCTATGATCCGACAATATATGTAACATGTAATGAAGTGGTTGCTTCTGCTGTTAGTTATTAATCCATAACATGTAGTGTCTTAAGGGTAGCATAATTACCTGATGCTCAGTGTAGTACAGATGATACCTTTAGAAATGTCCGCTAAACCTTGAACTTGATGACACCCTTTTAAGCATCCTTCCAAACATAGAATTCGGTGATGAACCAGTGACAGAAGTTGGCACTTGCCTGGTAGTTCAGATTTCACAAAGGCTGATAGATATTTGCATTTTTTTAGGGTTTTTCCTGTATGTTGTCATTATAATTATGAGTGTACTATAAGTGCACAATGTTCTCAGCACCATTAACTGGCTGGGCATGGTGTACAATGGAACTTACATTACTTTTTCTGGCAAATCTTTTACATATACTTTTCCCATGCCTTCATACAATGGAAACCATAAGGCTGACAAATCCCAAATCAATGCTACTGCATCTCCCTTTTGTGTCTGTGATATAGTCTTCAATTTCATGTTTATTATCATCTTGCTTATGTCCCGATTTGCATCCTGTTTTCCAGACCCTCTTCTGCCAAAGTTCAAGATGTTGTTTCTAAGGTGACAACAGAAGCATTAAAAGAGGTATTGCAGTTTTAATATTTTTTTAGGAGTCTGAGCACCATCACTGGTCTGAATAGTCATGCTGACTTTGATAAGCATTACTTTGTAGTATATGATTGGTATGAGTAATTCTAATCATGATAATGGTACAGTTATAGAAATATTATTCCAAAGACGTCTTTCATTATCCTGAAATTACTCTGATAAAGTCATTAAGTAGTAATAGCACAATGCTAAACCATCCACTTGCCTCAAGAACTGACGAGTGTTTGTAGTGATTCAAGATTAACTTCTAATGGGAGTGTGGGGAACGTGAAGTGTGACACTCAGTACTGGAGGCCTTTATTCACAGTTTGAAACAGACGCCATGGAGGAAGGTGGAGAGACAAAACCCTCATCCCGTCCAGGGTCAGCCAAACCCTCCTCAAGGCCACAGTCAGGGAGAAAATCTGCTGGAGGTAACCATTTATGTCATGAATTTTCAATTTTGTAATATGGGAAAGCAGATGTTTTGGAACAATGCTCTGCATTTGTACATTCATTCTTGCAGATATGTATTTAGTATAATGGATACATGTAGTTGGTGATTTGTGTTTATTGATACTTTTGTCCTCAATCTGTATGCAGAGAACATCTGACAGCAACTGTTGTTAAGTGGTGTTTTAAACTGTTTTCTACATATCCTGGTGAGCTATATGAAGTGCCTTTTCACTGTATATTTGCCAACCAACTAACAAAGTTGTCTTACCAACATTTGTCACCAAGAATTTTTTTACAAACTGTCTTCCATTTCATAGTACTAAGGTAAAAATTAGAATATTTTGTATTGCCACACACATTTGTTTCAAGTATTTTGAGGCTTAACCCTAATATTTTATCCACTTATGATAATCTTTGTGGCTCAAAATACTCATTACATTTATATGCATAATGATTTGCAGCTGTCTAATGTTATTTTGGGTAAGGATATCTCAAAGTACTGAATATTGCAAAATGACACTGAGCTATACAATTGTACCAGGTAACTATCCAACTCTTTTCTGAAAGTTTCCATGCCATATCTGGAACTGTTTGATCGTCTGACATTCATTTGAAAATATCCTTTCCTAACTAGGTTCACGTCCAACATCAGCTACCCCTAAAGCTGATTCCCGTCCAACATCAGCTACCCCTAAACCTGCTTCCCGTCCAACATCAGCTACCCCTAAACCTGCTTCACGTCCAACATCAGCTACCCCTAAACCTGCTTCACGTCCAACATCAGCTACCCCTAAGGCTGATTCACGTCCAACATCAGCAGCCAAGGCTGGACGTACACCTACACCCACAACTGACCGCCCTCCATCAGCAACAGGTCGACCTGCATCTGCTGCTAAGCCAGCCACCCCAACCACCCCACTTGCTGTCACAGGAGAGAGGGTGGGGTCAACCACTCCCACAGCAGGAGGTAAGGTCTCTCCACGGGTTGGGTCTCGACCTGCATCTGCAGCCAAGTCAGGTCGAGGGAGCCGACCTGGATCAAGTATCAAGAGGCCTGACTCAGTTGCTGAGAAAGAATTAGGTAAATCAGTGTTTATATCTTATCCTGTCCTGGGACCCATTCTGTAAAGACATCTTAGCACTAATATGATTATGTCTCCCATACTTTTACATACACTTACAATGGTCATATCTTAAGTTTAAGATCATTTTGCTGAATGGAATGCAGGTCATATACACAAAGTTTATTTGTCTTTGATTCAGTGGTGTTTTGAGATGGAGCTAGTGATGTCACTTCCTAAAATATGTTATGGTGGTGAATAGGCCTGAGGTATATATGATAGAATCTGACAGTTTATTCCATAAAGAGGCCCATTAGACAGGTTACAGTGAAATATGGCTAAGAGTTACTGTTACTATGGAGAGAGAATAAAGGTACACATATACAAGATAATCAAGCTTGTCCACAGGTAATGTGTGATGATGTTGATTACTTGATTGCTTGACACCTGGCTTGATGAAAACTGACTTTGTTCCAGATGTGGCTGACAAGGAAGAACCAGATAATACCATGGCCTTGGTGTTGGCAGGTAAGTCACCTGCTTGTACCTTAACTCACTGCCTTAATTTAGAGTGTAACTTGTAGGGAAGTCTTTGGTCATTGAAGGTCCATTGTAATATATGGACTTATTGGATTTAGCCAGGTGGTAATATTAAGACCAGTTCAGTTTTCTTCCAGTATGAAGTTGACTTGCTTTGATATGTGTGAAATGTTTGAATCTGTCTTTAGCAACCAATGCTTGTAAGAGGTGGCTTGGTCAGTCTTGGTGACTTGGTTGATGCTTGTCATCGTATCCCAGCTGCATAGATCAATGCTCATCATGTCAATCATTGGATTGTCTGATCAGATCTTGTACATTTACAGACCACTGTCAGATAGCAAGTACATTGCTGGGTGTGGCATTAAACAAAATGGTCTGTTTGGCATTACACAAAATACTGTTCAAGGGTCATAAAACCTATCTCACTCACTTAATGTTGAATTGTTATTATATACAGCTAAAGATGAGGATGACCCTCAAAACTATGACTTTGGAGTTGGTGATGATGGTGAACCGGAGGACTACCCTGAGCCCCAGATGCCCTCTGAGCCACCACAGACCCATCTCAATATCACCGACATCCTGGGCCGACCACCCTCCGAACCCGAGGAGGACGACAGTGATGGCGGGAGTGATGATGAAGAGGAAGCTGTAGATGAAGTCGGCGCAGACTCTGATGATGCCAGTGATAATGAAACTGATATGGTGGTCCTGGACCCTGATCATGTAAGTGTTAAATGTAACAGCTGTCGGTGGAAGTGTCAACAGCTGATTGTGTATGTACATGTTTATAGAGGGTAATGTTTATCTTCTAACATGTACTCATTGATAGCTGTTTATGTAGTGTTTGGTCCTTTATTGATTTCTTTGATGCTTTCTGTAGATGTTTTGTGTAATTTTGTAAAATATTAATTGTGTGAATGGATTGGTGCAAAAGGTAGTCACAGTATGCCAGATATATTTTAAGAACATAAAAAATATTTACAACAGAATTTCTTTGTTTTTCAATTGTTCATTAACTTTAAAACATTCCCTTTTTCAGCCACTGATGAGAAGATTTCAGAACGCTCTCAAGAATCACCTCGACAAGCAGAACGAGAAAGTCTCTCTTGAACTCAGGGAATTGGTAAGAATAATCAATGGATGTCTCGAAATTAATGATGAGATATTACAGTGTTACTCCAGTATATTTTAACCAATAAAGATGGTTAGGTTTTGATCTTATATAACTGACTTTGTTGTGAAACTAATCTATATATATACACGACACAAGCAAATTGGATACCCTGATTAAGTGATAATTGTCCTGTGTTCAGGAGGAGAATCTTCGCTCCAAGAAGAAGAACCGTGAGGATCTTGGTGTGGAGCTGTATGGAGTCCAGCAAGAGCTTGCTCGCTACCAGATGATGTTAGAACAGAACCATGATGAATACTCGAATCTGAACCAGGACCGCCAGCATGAAGAGCAGCAGCTGGATGAGGTCCGTTCCCTGTACAAGGACAACCAGCTGGCTGTTAACAAGGAGAAGAAGAGAGGTGAGTGACTGTTGAATGTCCGCTGGCAAACGTTTGTAAGACCTTATTCTCAAAACATTCGTAGCCCTACGAACTTCTTAAGCCCATTCTTTACACATTGGCTACGATCAAAGTTAAGAATTCTTAGGGCTACGAAGGTCGTTTCGAGAATAAGGGCCCAGGACCCCATTTCAATCTTAGTACTACAACTGTTATAACCCTATGTTAAAGTATAGGACTTACGATCACTTTAATTCACTTACCACTTTGCGGAATGAGATCCAGACTGTGTGTTTTTGTTTTATCGTTATTTATTGAAACTTGCTGATGTATGATCAACATGGAACCACTTACGCTCTTACTCACACACTGTGGCTATACTGTAGGTGCTGAGCTCCAGGCTGAGGTTGAGAACCTGGCACTGCGTCTCTTCTACATGGACAATGCTAAGGAGGATGTCCGTGGCGACATCGCCATCATGAGGCGAGCTGCAGAGAAGGCAGAGTCAGAAGTGGCCAAGGTCGAGATGGAGAAGCAGAAACAGGTAAGATGTGTTCACTCATGCAAAACTGTATCAATTTCTTGAAAGCATAACTAATAGTGTGTATTGTATAAGGAACTGGGATAAACAAGATGTATTTATGGTTGAGGTTAATTGTGCTGAAGATTTGTTGTGTTTCACTTTAAAGGACCTGTACGTGGACCGTCTGGTGGAGAGGGTAGACAAACTGAAGGAAGAGATGGCCATGTTTGAAGCTCAAATCACTGCCCAGTCGGATGAAACAAAAGCAGCCAAGGAAGCACTGATGGAAGCACACATGGAAATTGAGGTGTGTCAGTAGGAAGGGATTAGAAAGACCACAAGGATTGTAATTCAATTAAAATCCTTTAGAAAATTGAGAAGTTATTAAGACATATATTTCACTCAAAATTGTCTCCCCTGCAGGCCATCAGCCTTGAGAAGAAGCAGCTGTTCCAACAGTGGAATAGCAGCTTGATCGGGATGAGGCGCCGAGATGAGGCACACGCTGCCATGCAGGAGGCTCTCAGGTAAGAATATCAGTTCATGACTTGGAGGTGAGGTGAGGTGAAACTGGGTTTAACGTCGTGCTTGAGAATATTTCGCTCATATGACGACGTGCATACTTGTGTATGTGAATGCGCAACTGCTTGTACTAGCCCAGACTTAAGCTGGTTTTAGAGTGCTAGCCCACTGAGATACCATGCCGCAGTGAAGCATGAATACCCCACTCAGACACATTATACTGACTCCGAGCCGACCAGTCCTTGTTGTACCCATAATGCCGAGCGCCAGGCAAGGACCAACAAGTACCACATTTTAACGTCTTTTGGTATGACGCGGTCGGGGATCGAACCCGCAACCTTCCGCACTCCAGGCGGACAGTCTAACCACTACACCACGGAGGCGGTCTCATGACTTGGAGAGATGTTTAGTTCCAGTGTTTGGTTCTTTTGTGAGAATTTTAGAGTTTATTGGCTTGGTATAGAGGCAAGTAAAGTTACACAGTAAGCACTATGATGAGGTAGACCTGCCATTCTAGCTAGTTTAGATCAAGTATATTAAAACCCACTTTGTTTGACAGCTAACTCAAATTAATGATGTTTATTAAACTGGAAGTTAACGATAACCGCAACTTGACATTGTCAGCACTGAGGTTGTCATGTGGTGAAGGTGTTGACTCATCGTGATGCCGACTTGGGTTTTCATTCCCCATATACCAAAGTTAGTGAAAGGGATAGCAGATAGACAATGTGGTATTATCCTGAGTCTGCCCCCTAGTGCTACCTCCACCCGCAGTATTGGGGATTAACATGCCTTTTGTGGGGGTGTGATTGCAGTCAGCAGCAGCAAAAGATCCTGTCACTGGAGACGGAGATCGAGGGATTCAAGAAGTCTATACAGAAGGAGCAGGAGCAGAATGAGAAGCTGTGTCAGATCCTGGCCAAGACTAACCGTGACATCGACATGGTCAAGAAGCAGCTGATCACCTGCCAGGCTAAACACGACGCTCTCAAGGCTGAGTACACGACCTTCACTCGGATGTTGCATGAAACTGAGACGACACTCAACAAGGCCACAGCAGTAGGTTAAGATGTTGTCTCGTGTTTGTGTGTAAACACAATGTGACTGAATTGGAAATCAAAGATATTCTTTCATTATGGCTATGTTGTTGATTTTATTTTGAACTATGCTAAAAAAAATGAACTTAAATGTAAGCATAAATGTTAAGCAGTCATATATTTACAAGACTTATTAGTATTTATCCATTCCTGACTCAATGATTAAAGATTGAATAATTGAACATTTCTAAAGTAGCCTTTTGTATAGAAATAAACATGATTATTCAAGTACCTGTCTGTTTCAGTTATTCAGTTTCCATCTCTTCTGAACTATTTACTTGGCAATATTAGGATTCTGAGAATCAATCTACGGAGTCCTACCAAATCTCGATATCTTCTGTTTGCAGGACAAGACACTCCGCATGAACGAGTTGAATGGGCTGAGGAAGCAGATAGAGCGGGAGTACCAGGAGAAGGTGAAGCTGGAGGATGAGATCATGGAGAAGATCAGAAACCAGCTGACCATGGACAAGGCTGCCCAGTACACCAAGAAACTGACCAGCAAGATGAGGGACCTCACCAAGAATCTTGTGAGTTCACCAGCATGGCATTTAGGTTTTTTTAATATTAAGTCCAGAGTAAGCACATCAATGTTTCTGAGTGTGATGTTCAGTTTTATTCCAGTCATCCACCACCGGGGGTCGGAGGGGTAGCCTAGTGGTTAAAGTGTTGGCTCGTAACGCTGACGACTCGGGTTCGATTCTTCACATGGGTACAATGTGTGAAGCCCATTTCTGGTGTCCCCTGCCGTGATATTGCTGGAATATTGCTAAAAGCGGCGTAAATCCACCACCATACAGATACAGACATCGCGCACAACATGCTTACTGATAACTGTGGCCACATCTTATTTCTTTTACATCTCGTCAAATATCATCACAGTCTTAGCTGTCATTGGGTTTGTATTTTAACATCTTTAATATTCCTCCTGGCATGGGAAAACAATTGGATGGTTAAGACATCCGTATTAGCAATGACAAGTTATTTACATATGAGTTGTCCTGTTGAGTTAGTGTGCAGAGGTGACAAGTTGGCTGAGGCACAACAAGTTGTGTGGAAGTATTTGGTGTCTTTGCAAGAATCCTATGATTTACCCTGATTATGTTTCTTGGGTCTTTGTGCCGTGCCGTTGTACAAAGCGATCTTAGCTCTAAGGTGACCGTAACTCCCATACTTTAACATAGACTTAAGGTAGTCTTAGCGCTAAGGTTGTTTTGTACAACGGCACCCATATCTGTTTGTGTGGGTTTCACAGAAGAGGTAGATGTCCCACTAACCCAGAGTATTGGAAATGATCACAGATTTTAGATATTTCTCATGGTGAATACAGTGTAGGAAAGATGTAGAAAATCTAGCCTGTCCACAGGAATGGCAGGTCAAATTTTTTACCAGTCCTGCCAAAATCTAGCCTGTCCTCCAAATATAAATAAAACACCTTCGGCAGTAAATATTCAAAAAGGTTATAATCATTATATATATGTCATTGGTTTGCTAAAATTGATCCGACATGAGGACGGACTAGATATTTTTTTAACCCGTCCTCCACAAAATTCACCCGTCTCGGACGTTGGGACGGGCTATCTTTCCTACACTGGTGAATACCAAACACTTGAAGAAAGGTGCTAATGCCATTGTACTGGTATGTAATTGTCATGTGTCAAAGTTTTGTGATCTTTATCTGTTTTATCAACTTATCTCTTTACTTTTTCAGGAGACCCAAATGGCGGAGGTAGAGAACACCATTGCCAGGAATGCTCTGGACACATCCAATGTGAAGGCCAGGACTGAGAGACTGAAGAAGATCCTACAGGGTCTAGATGATGAGATCCGCCAGAAGAATGACATCATCTCCAAGAGTGAGAATGAGATCATCAAGAGAAACGCTATCATTGAACGTAAACAGAATCTAATTGATCAGTTCAACAAGAAGCTTGAACACATGATCAGCTCTGCTGGGGTAAGTTCTACATGCCTTTTATATGTGTCCATATGGTTCCTTTGAAGCATTTGAGGTGTGCAACTGCATGTATATATATATATTGATTTTCTTCACATTGTGTTCATTTTGTGAAAACTGGTTACCTTAGATATAAAGAAGTAAGAAGAACACATATTACATGATAAAGAGGCAAATTACTGTGGCCACCTACGTCCTCTCTAGCGAGGAACATGGAGAATATTTATACTTAACACCATACTCACATACTCAGTCATGTTTGAAATGAAGTTGTACATGGGTGGCCCAATAGGCAGGTTTGCAACTGACTGTGTAACTAAACCACCCAGATGGTCCTATTGGGTTTAAGAAGCTTCAAATGCATTTGAAAATAAAATGGATGAAGAAGTAGCTTTATCAACAATTCACTTTAAACAATAGTAACTGTTGTTAACAAACTAGAGGTCTACTGACTATAGATTGCTGCCCACCTCTAATACCATGGTTACTGAGATCATGATCATCTAGGCCTTGATGGCACATTTAGTTGACACACAGTGGTGTAACTGATATCCTGTTGGCGTTAGACCCATCAGTGCCCCCTCCCTGAATTCTTGTGCATTGGTTGTCAGGGTGTGGAGCTGGGTCCACTGGAGATCACCATCAACTCCCTCCAGAAGTCTATAGACGTTAGGCAGCAGGAGATCACCGAGCTGCAGCAGATGTGGCTCCGACAGCAGAGTGAACTGGTCAGACTGACCAAGGACAAGGAAGACCAGTCACAGGATGTTGAGAAACACAAGAAGCAGCTCACCATCCTCTTACAGAAGAAGATCAGGACGGAACGTAAGTTGGGATATATGTTATACATGTTATTATATGTTAAATAAAATCGTTATCTGTTTGATATAACCCTTAACTGTTTGATATAATCCTTAACTGATCAGTGTGTTGTGTTTTCCATGTTAATTCCTTCAAACCATTGATTGTTGTTGTTCTGTATCCACCCTTGTCCGCTTTATCCTACCAGTGATTTCAATGTTGAAAATGGATGTTCACAATGGCTTCTGAGTATGGATTGTTTGACCCTATCTAATGAAACTTATCTGCTTTAAATTAGCAACATAATTTGTGATATTTATCAACAGATGACATTGACCAGCAGAGACGTGAGACATATGATATTGAACGTCACATCACCAACATGCAGAATGATATGATCAAGTTGAACACACTGCTACACAGAGAGAAGGGCCATGAGGTGCAACTGGAGCAAGGCACAACACTGCTGGAGAATGACTTCATTGCCAACCTGAAGGATGCAGAGAAAGAATCCATACAGATGCAGGACCATCTTGACTCTGTGAAGGAAGAGAAGGAGAGGCTACTGAACAGTCTGGTGGAGGCAGAGTGAGTAGAGACAGGGTGTTGAAGAGACTACCCAGTCAAAGGGACCGTTCATAATTATTATTATTTTTATTTATTTATTATTATTTTTTATTTTATTTATTTATTATTATTATTTTTATTTTTTTATTTATTTTTTTTATTTTTTTATTTTATTTTTTTTTTGGGGAGAAATGATGGGGGGTTTTGGGGGTTGGGGGTCCACCCATTTTGTTCTGGGGAGAGGAAGTAAGGGGCATCAATTTAGTGCACATGTACTAGGGGCAAGGGCAGCATTTTTGTACATAAATATATTTTAAAATTATGCTTAAAAAGTATGGGAAAGGGAAGGGGGGGGAGGGGTCATTGATTTTGTACATGACATGATGACATGCAGGGGGGTCACTTACTTTGTACCTACTTTGTACCTACTTTGTCATTCACAGTGTACATGCTTCTCCATAAAAATCATAAGGGAAGCAGGGGATTCTATTCATATTTCAACATGACCTACTAATATTGATCCAAGCATAAAACAACACCCCTTCAAGTATGATGTGTTTCATGTTTCAGACGTCAAATCATGTTGTGGGAGAAGAAGACTCAGCTGGCGAGGGAGACCCGGTCAGCTGTAGACTCTGAGGTCGGGCAGGGAGAGATTAGAGCCATGAAGTCCGAGATCCATCGGATGCAGGTCAGGTACAGTCAGCTGATGAAGCAGCAGGAGAAGATGATCCAAGACATGGAGAAGGCAGTGTCCAGGTATGCTGTAACAGTCAATATGATAGTTTTGTTGTTATTTTGGGGGGAAGGTCAGTGGTTATCTCTGGAATATTACTGAAAGAGGCATTATATCGACACTTAAATTGTTCATGAAATAGTGGATGACAAATCAGTGTGTGGTCGATATTGCTTGTTAGATACATCCATATGTATATGTGCAGGAGAGACACCATTGTAACCCGAGGCGACTCTCAGTCCAAGATGAAGCAGAAGGTTGTTACCAAGGGAACGTTTGAGAGACAGATGGCTGAGCATCGTAGAAAGATAAAACAAACAGTAAATGTAAGTTGTGGTTTTATAATGCTTATATAAATTTAGCTATAATGATTAATTCCATCCTCCTTTTATGAAATAGTAATTGAATGCAAAATGCATGCAAGATGACTTAACAAAATGTATGTGCATTTGTGCACAAGAAAATATGGTCATTTTGTTTAGGTTATGGTACTAAACTCTCCCCATCATTCCTCACTCACTAACTTCATCACTCTTTCTCTGTCCCTCCTTTTTCACCCAGTCCCTCACTCACTCTGACCCTCTGTATGCTACAGGATGCTTCAAGCTGTGACAATGATATCCATGAGCTGCTCGATCACCAGCAGGAGCTGAGTGGTCAGTTGGAGGAGAAGCAGGTCAATTGCCAGCAGCTCCAGGGCTCCGCAGACACCCTGGATGGGGACATCGAGAGGCTCCTGGATGTCAAGTTAAAGGTGTGTCCAATGTTTGTGTCCTGAGTCTCTAACATTGATGTCAATCCTCTTGTTGATCAGTGTGTATAAAGCATTTAGCCTACAGAAATTAACCTTGTTTTAAGACTCAACATTCTCTCTTTATGGGGGCGGTGGGGTAGCCTAATGGTTAAAGCGTTGGCTCGTCACACTGGGTTCAAATCCCCACATGGGCACAATGCGTGAAGCCCATTTCTGGTGTCCCCTGCCGTGATATTGCTCGAATATTGCTGAAAGCGGCGTAAAACCATACTCAGTCAGTCAGTCAGTCTCTCTTTATGGAGGGTGGAATTTGTATTGTTCATATTCTGCTGGTCCCCTAGCATTTTACTTTTTGGGTTGAGAAGCATCCAAGATTTGAAGCGACACTGACTTTCTGTGTTGGCAATTAGGTGTCTTTTGTGTGTGTGACACTATACTAGAGTGTGTACTTTACTGACAAAGTGTGATCCCAAATATATCACGTTTTAAATTTTTACCACTTTCTTAAAAGCATATTTTCAGATGTATTTACATTATTGTTCATATCCTAAAGTATTATGTATTTATTTAAATCTGCATTTTATTCACAAAATGACAAAATATACATGACATATTGTTTGGCCTAGTTCTCTTTTGTCAAAGCATGAATGCACCAAACTCAAGTTCTAAATACTTGACTGTACATAATGAGTGAGTGAGTTTAGTTTTACGCCGCACTCAGCAATATTACAGCTGTATGGCAGAGGTCTGTAAATAATCGAGTCTGGACCAGACAATCCAGTGATCAACAGCATGAGCATCGATCTACGCAAATGGGATACGATGACATGTGTCAACCAGACTGCACATAATGCACAAAAGATGATGCAAATACTGGATCCCATAAAATAGGTACACATTATGCATGGATGTGCACAAAACTCAAGAAAGTTACAATACGGTAAGTAAATGCAATTCCAATATGATTGAATATGTTCCAGAATATGAAGGATCTAGTAGGCAAACAGCAGAAACACAAGTATTACCAGCAGGTAAAGGATGGCAAGTACACGATGCTGTGCAAGTCGGAATCCTCCCTGGAGACAGAGCACAGCAAGCAGATAGATCGCATGCAGGCTCTCAGTACCATTGTGGACAGACTCAACCAGGAGTTCCCCCATGTACAACCAGCACTGAGGAACGTCACCATCGCACTCAGCTCCCGGGGGGTGCCCCATGATGACGATTAATGTATTCACCAGCATCAATGCATGTAATTGAGGACCATACATGATTGATTTTTGGCCTGCCAATCAATATCTGGAATAGATTTTCATCACCTACTGTTTAATGCATTGCTTGTAGTTGACGGTCTGTTGAGATTTATGTTTTATCAATATCATTCCGGTCTGAATGCTGAGGTCAGTCTTAAGACTGGTATCCATGAATATATATGATGTGATGACTTAATGTTGTGTGAAGAAATGTGAACAGTTGAAAATGTCTGTATATTTTGTTCTCTTTTGTATATGTTATAATTTATTGAGTAAAATGTAGGTATTTTGATATGTTGATGCATACGTTAATGCATTTGTCCGTCCATTATTTCCCATATTATTCCTTCAACAATGCCAAACATTGTTACTCCATTGTTCACTCATTTTGAAATACTGAACATGGAAGAATTATTTTGTGTAAAGTTTAGTCCTAAATCTAAATTTGAGTCTTCAAATCTGGCTCGTTTATTCAAGTGTATATGTTTAAATATGATACTTGTATTACATGAATAAACTATGAATTTCACAAGTAGTTTAGGACTGTTGTTATTTATTCATTTACAGCCAACAGTGAGTGAGTGAGTTAATGAGGTTTCACCACACAGATATATGAAATCTATGGGTATATATAATATATATAATGGGAAATGATGTCTAAAGTTTGATGCAGAGCCTCTTCCTTGGCCTAGACATTAATAAAGCCACTTGTGACATGAGAGCCATGACAGATTGTCTTTTGTCATGTGAAAAAAAACTGAGTGATCTTCTTTGGTGTAGCATAGACAATATGTACATTGAGATGTGTATAGGATGTGTGAGCAGCAGTTTGATATGTTATGGGTAGATAACAAAGTAAATTTAGAACAACTATGACATTAAAAACTTTCTCCCGATAAGAACCTTCTCCTTGATACCACTCAACAATCTGCTGGTACTTCCGACTTCTTCCTTGGTTGATTCATGAAAATACACCACATTATTCTCATGTTGAGAAGATGTGGATTATGGCCTCAAATACAGTCTTGAAGTGGTCAGAATCATGTGTACTTTAGGTATAGTTTGGCTTCATGATAGGGTTAGATAAAAAAAACCCGTGAAGCACTATCCAGAACTCTAAATTACATCTATCAGTACCTAGATCACACATGGCAACAAGATGACTGTTCTTGTCAAAGGGGAAGGTATCAGGTCAATGCTGATGCAGTTGTTTCTACGACACGCACTGAAAACATTTGAGACCATGGTGTAGTATGGACGATACTTTTATTTGTTTCTTGTTTACACTGCAAAGCACAAGATTCCCACTATATGAGGGTGGTATGTAACAATATGGACCAGACAATCAAGTGATAGATGTCATATGAGCATCCCCAGAATTGGAATATGATGACATACAATAAACTAGGCTATCAAGCCCAACAGCAAGCACCAATATTCTTACAATTAATCACTACAGGTCTGCTGAATTATAGTTATAGCCATAGTTTGAAGGTGTGAAAAAACGTTCTCATGGACAATCATAAAGTGTTCAAACTCATAAATTTACTGATTACAAGTTGTGGCATTGATTAATTACACGTGAAGATATTTCTGCTGTCTCAACTGATACATATGCTGCAACATAAGACTACATATGCCATTTCTTTACATGTATTTTATGAAGTCTTTAAGTGCAATTTTAGAAGCTGTAGTTTGTTTCATTCTATATTATGATAGATCCCATAGTTCTGAACAATTCATTAGTATTTCAGAAAGTATCCGGCTAAGGTGCTGACACCCATTCAACTCGTGAATTCAGCTGCCAATCTAAAATGGAAAAGAGGCCTTCTGTGGTACTTCTCTCCCAATGTTCTCCTTTGCCTGTTGGAAAGACTCATTCTCTGACCTCCCGTACGGTCTGGTAAGATTGTCCTTACATAATGTCACACCAAATCCAGCTCTTGGTGGTAGGTCAATGAAGCCATCTTTAGGTAAAGGTTCATCTGGAAATATCTCTCCAAAATAGGGTGTAATCTTGTCAGCTTTCGGACTCAGATTGATGAATTCTGCCAGTGGACAGTTCCTGAAGGCATACTGAAGATGATACGAGTAGACACTGGAACCGTGCGGAATGACCAAGATATCGTGTGCTGACGCCATGGCAACCACCCTCCTGGCTTCTGTAATACCTCCAAGCCATGTGATGTCTGGTTGAATAACATCGACACACCTTGAACTCAGAAGTTGCCTGAATCCATACCTTGTATATTCGTGTTCTCCAGTCGTTAGAAGAACCTTTGAACCTCTCAGCGCCTTCCTTACCTCACTGTAGCCTTCATAATCGTCTGGAGGCAGATATTCTTCCATCCACTTTAGACCATATGGCTCTAGTTCCTTTGCTAGACGAATAGCATATGGGACGGTCAACGCCATGTAACAGTCCAGGGACAGTGGGAATTCGGGTCCAACTTTCTCTCGCCATCCTTTGAAGAATTCGACGTTCTTCCTCAACCCTTCATCACCCTCATCAGGGCCGTATGGACATGCAACTTTTGCTCCAACAAAACCAAATTCCTTGGCGAGATCCGGACGACCAGTTGTTGAGTAGACTGGCAGACGATCTTTAGTTTTCCCGCCAAGCAAGGCGTACACTGGCTCATTCCGCAAGCGGCCAAGAAGATCCCACAGAGCTAAGTCCACGGCGCTTATAGCCTGTATGGGCAACCCCTTCCGTCCATAGTTCAGTGTAGCTCGGAACATCTGATCCCACATGAGTTCCACATCACGAGGATCCTGACCCTCCACAAACCTACTCAGATGCTGCTCAACAATGTAACATCCAGGTTTTCCACCGATGGTGACGCCAACGCCCGTAGTTCCATCGTCAGCCTCAACTTCAACAACCAAAGTCCCAAGTGCGTTGATCCCCCAAGATTTCCTGAAAGCTCTGTATTGAAGGTATCCTGACATGGGGTTGGCGATCGGTGCCAGACCTCCGTTTATCCAATGAGTGTCTATGACGTCATGACAGTCGGATCCTTGGTCCCCCGTAGAGGCCGCTATTGTATAGGCTCTCACTGCCTTTACACGGGGGAATTCTCGCGCTTCTCCAGCCATCTTTATTCAAAGTGGCAGTTAGCTTCCAAATGAAATAACGTCACTCTGGACTACAACACCTCTTGATGAACGACTCGAGATAAGATAATTCGTACCCTATTTCCTCGATTATAAGTTCATCATTTAATAACATCATTTCCTTATCAGTCTTTGTCCGACCTCTAATAGTGGTCTTATACAATGTATTTTGGCATCTATTAGTTTCAGTCAGGTGAGCATCGAGAAGAGAACGTTGTTTCCAGACAAACACATTCAGTGACGGCATTGCGCGGTCCCTACAGAAAATGTATCTGCTTTTTTAATCCGTGGTATCTAATCTAACACTATTTACGGTAAATTGTGACGTGAGAATCAAAAGGTGCAGACACTACCTTGACCTACTGTACTCCAGTCCTATTTGACCTGTTTTTTTCTATAGCTTGACCTTGAGGATAAATACAGTAGGATGGTAATTCCGTGATAGATCGTGATTGTGCATGATAAGTTGTGTGGACATATGTTTGCTCATCCTTGTCATCTTTGCACTTAAGCTACACACACACACGAATACTAAACCCACCTATAGTCTGTTTGCAGTGAAAACGTACCGATGCATTTAACTTTAAACAAAAAAAGTAAATCAAATTAAGTGAAATAAAGATTGCGAATCCTCATAATTTTACCTTGCCAAATGAACATTTAAATCTCAGAATTTTATTCAACTTAGGATAAAAGTTGCTTAACAAACGATCATAGATTCAAATCGCTATTATTGGTGTGTATTACTAGGGGGTAAGCGCAGTAGATAGAACAGTGAAACAAATGCACGTGCGGTACGTGATGAGCGTTAACTTAGACCGGCCCTACGTGTTCTCGGTGTTTCATCTAATGTGCATACTCCCTTGTAATACAAACCAATAATAGCGATTTGAAACTATGATCGTTTGTTAAACAACTTTTATCCTAAGTTGAATAAAATTTTGAGATTTGAATGTTCAATTGGCAAGGTAAAGTTATGAGGATTCGCAATCTTAATTTCGCTTTAATCGATTTACTTTTTTGTTTAGAGTGAAATTCATTGGTACGTTTTCACTGCAAACAGACAATAGTTGACCAATGTATTTAACTCGACATAACGATAAGGATACACATCTGTAGTCCTGGCCCATATAATTTCCCTTCCGTCCAGCCCTTTTTGTAATGCAAAAGATACAAATGAATAAAGTCTAGACTTTTTCTCAGGTCCAGGTTCTAAATCTACCATCTTACTAGGGCTCCCATTCAATGTCTATCAAAATTATATATCTTCATTGAGCAATCGTTAATCTAGCATACCCCATTCGAGTTATAGACTCCACGTGTTGTTCTGTATATAAAAGGTGACAGAATGATGAATAATAAAGAAGAATATTTTTGGAACTAAGTCACAAATCACGAGAGTTTTTCTTCATAGTTACTCCATTGCATGCTTTAACACATTGGGAGTTTCATCACCGATTGTCAGTGATTCAGTCATATAATTTTACTGCTAAGCTGTCTTTTACACCCAATGGAATCTGTTTCGATAGAAAGTCGACACTGATGACTCTATGGCGTTGACATTTTAATATATATTCCACACGCCTTGTGTCACTGAATTACTACTAGATAGATACAGTGACACGCGATCAAATCTTGTCACGCAAATGTTCTGTAAGAGTACACTGATATGGGATGAAATAGGACAACATAAATAACAGAAAAAGCGTTACTGGGAGAGAACTACCGGAACTATCCACAGTATTGTATTTCCGCTCATTCATTATCAATATGCAGCAGGGGTTCAATTTCTTTTTTAAAAGCCACTGACTTTAAGTAACTTGTCCTGACTAATTTTCCACTTGCCCTGATTTTATGACATAATTATGATGATGTAGTTATGAAAGAAGAAATCAACATGGTATTTGATGTTAATGTTTTCTCGACTATTTATTGAAAAGTGATAAATAGCAAAGAAAGATAACTCTACTTTATTATCATTGCGAAATTTAATAGCTACATTTTGAGCAGATATGAAATTAAATCAAAGTTTATTTGCAGTTTGAAACCATAAGTGGAAATTATCTAGTAGCCCACGGACAAGTAAGATACCATTATTTGATTGCCCGAAATGAAAACTGACTTGTCCCGGGCGTCGGGCGATGGGGTTTTTGAACCCGTTAATGCATCCTAATTCAATGGAAAAGTAAGACAATGGAGGGTGCCAGGATATTGGTTCGATCTATGTTGGTTCAATTTTTTTTACATTTTGGTCAGCGAATCTGTATATACTAGCCACATAAAGAAACTGTGCTAATAGGAAATCAAAATTTATATGGAACTACGTTTTTACAAATAAGATAAAATCACTGAACGTAACTTAACATCTGAACGAGCTACTTATCGTGACGTCAGTAGTTTCGGCATGGGCACGTACAACAATTTTGTGCATGTGCATGTGGATTTCGTCGATAAACTGTGTGGAGTACGTAAATTTAAAAAATGTTGTCGATTTGGAAAATTTATTATTTGACGTTTGCTCATTCAAAAAATTAAAATGCTGTTGAACCGCACATCATGCCAACACACAACGCTATGAGGCTACTGGGATGGTCCTTTGGGGATTGTCTCAACGTCAGATAGCTGCGCGTTTCCTTTGCCACCGCAACACCATTTCAGTACTGTTGACACGTTATCAGAACCATAACGGGGTTGCCGATCGCCCACGTGCAGGACGTCCACGCGTCAAAACGCCAAGACAGGACAATTGGATTGGATGACCCAGCCCCGGAACGGGTTCCACACTGCAGTGGCCACTGCTCAGTTCAGGACTAGGACGTATCCACGACAAACGCAGTCAGGCCGCTTACGTCATTAAAGAATACTACCACGTCCCGCCATATGACCGATCCTGTTGCTATGTTCAGAGATGGTGCCAAAACCATGTTCGTCAACCTCGGTTGTGGACAGACGAGTCCCGATTTAACATTCCCGTAGTGACGGACGTCAACGTTTCTTCGGACGTCTTGGGTATCGTTATGATCAAATCTGCGTCATGGAGAGGGCTTGCTTTGGGTTGGCTCCGTGATATGATGATTTGGGCTGGCTAAGTGTACGTCTGTTGTGACCTTAAAGCTAGAATGCTCTTAAGTGTAGAATAGTCAGGAATATTCATCAGCGGGCGGAGATTATATGACCATGTTACACGTATTTCCTACGCACTACCTCTCACTTAAACACGGAAGTGCCTCTATTTCTGCTGAGTCGTGTCAGGTTGAGTAGCGTGCAACGACGGTATTTCTTGCTCTACAACGTAACCTAAACAGCATTTCCTTCTTTACTGCCGTTTAAATATTTAGGGCAAATATATCAATATCCAAATATAGCAGGGTCAACGTGAAGCAAAGATTAGCAACACTCTGCTGGTTTGTGAGGTCGTTTATTTGGTAGGATGAGATATTGATGAACGATAAACGACACCCTGTAACAATAAATATAATAAAATAATTAACATCTCACACAATTCATACAAGATACATATAATTCCATACACGGGTTAATACATATGGACAATTACCAATAATACTGTAGTTACTCAAAGCATGAATACCATTACTTACTAAACATATGAAATTTTGGAATTATGATATTACATCATTACGAATAACGTAATGATAATACATGCATACAATGTAATACACACAAGATAGATAATAATACACCATTACGCATTAGTCGTAATGATAAAGTACACATGATTCGTCACCACGCATTACGTGATGGTACTATATACAAATACATGGATATAAAAAGACATATACACATACCCTGTGGGTGGTACAAGGGTGTACACCAATCAGGCACAGCACCAGTCTTATGGACGGGGACTTATCTGCTGTAAATAATATTAGATGATAAATAATATACAATGTAATGTGGAGTAGATTTAGGGCTGCTACATTCATGAACATAAAATTACTTCCACACATTGATAATTACACTTATAGTTAACATAGTTAAAACATAGCAACTTATATTAAAACACATTCTCTCATCTCACACATTCAGTGAAAGGGATAGTAAAGATAAGAATATATTAGTGATACTTATTTATGTTTATAGCTTAGGATTGGAAAGCTAGCATAAATACATATGTCACACTTACATGCTATACAATATAATACCTATTTAAATGATAGTAAATAGATATGTGTTTATTATATATATACTGCAAGGATGAAATGCAATATTACTTTAATTAAATGAATACTAACCTTAATGTTACACTGTGTGTCTGTCTAAGCTGTCCAAGAGTCAGTGCAGAATGAGTGAAATTGTGCATGGAGTTAGTGAGACCAATCAGCCGAGAAGCGTCATGGCTTGGGCAATTAGTGAGAGAGGCCAAGCTCTAAAGCTTAAACCTTAAACTGCCTAGAAATAATATAGCTAAAGGGAGAGAATAATAATATGATTAAAATAATATATTTACACTAAAATACACCTGCCACACAAATATCTTTGTTAAAAGTTCTATAGTAATTTGTATAAGCAATGGTGGCATGAGAGCATTAGGGAACTACATGTATATTCACATCATGTTTACCATAGCTGTTGTGTCGTGGAAAATGAATAATGGGAATGGTGTATTAGAACAGTAAATGCTCCTTTTAGTTACCAGTATGCCATAAGTCCAGTACAGCAGCTGGTAACATACGTCAGAGAACCCTGTCAGTTGTTCAGGGCAGTTTGACAGATATGGGCTATTCAGATGACCAAATGCTTGTACCAGTCGCCATGCCGTTTCTTCAAAGTTATGACTGAGAATTGACATTCCAACATTTCCGTCCTCACACGGATGGGGTTGTGTCATTTCTTTAACAACACAATGTTCAAATGCTGCCTTGGCCTGCAGCTTCACCGTATAGAGCACGTGTGGGATAAAATGGAACGACGTCACGCCGTGTACAAAATCCGCCAGATAACGTTTGTGGTTTGGCAGCAGAGCTACCGAGAATATGGCAAGCCATTCCATAAGCCTCCCATGCCCATTTAATGCCCACTCTATGCGACGGCGAAACTGCTTTTCTCTCTGCTCACTGGGCATACCCGTTAATGAGTGAGACATTATTGCTTGACCCCTGCCCCGCAATGGATTCAATGTAATGAATAATTAACACGTTGTTCTGCCGTTATGTTATGATCTTAATATCCACCTTTTAAAGTTTACATGGAAACTTTTCATAGTTGTTGGATTTTTCAAATTTAAAAAGATGTTTTAGCAATGAACAGTTTCTTTTTGGTTAGTATTATGTTTCCAGTTTGAAAAAAATGAATTAACAGTAATAGTAATGAGATGAATTTGATAAAGAAAACATACATGGTGTAAAATGGGGGAATAAGGGTGCGAACCAGTTTCGAATTTCATCACCGTTTCAGATACGGTGTTTTCTTGGGTATATATAATGCAAACCTTTTCCCCCTGAAAAATACTGGGCCATGAAGAGGTTGTGGGTGTTTATTTCTTCTGACGAGAAAACATTATCGATAGTAAAATACCTTGAATTTATTATCCTTCTAATACATGATTACGATAATCTGTTATTTCTGGGTTGATCTGCACTATATGTGAATCTGGTTTTACTGTCAGTGTTGATAAATGACTCAAATTGGTTGAATTGTTAATTTAATTAATGAGATTTTACAAATGTGGCACAAAGACAGAGAAGTCCAATGGAGCTGCTGGGTACATATCTCATATCTGTGAGACAGAGTGATCAGTTGGTGAATACAGTCTAAAGATTCGGTAAATTTACAGAGTGGTGCTCTTGTTTTGGGGGTTGCTGAAATTTTAGGATTTTTCAATAATCTTATACCAGATTTAGTTTCTGCACCCTATTTACTTCAGGTAGTTATAAAACTAATCCGTTGTAACAACTCACAACCTCAAATTTTTGAAGGGCATTTAGAAGTGGAATGCATAAGAAAAGCATCATGATGAGAACTTTGTTTTGTGGTATCCTGGAGGTTACTCACAGGGTGAATTACCCCCCTTTGATGCTACAATTTTTGTTTCAGGGAAGATTACCACATCAGGTGTGTGTACCTAAGAAGGCTGATTGTTAAATATGGCTGGAAAAGGAAGATTTAGAATTCCAACACTAGACGAGAAAGACAAAGCTGAGTCATGTTTGCAAGTGAGTGTCTTGATGTCTAATTACAGCTGGCCTTAATTGTAACATGCGAGGTGCCTTAGTTTAGAAAGAAATGTGACGATCTTTCACTCAACGGGAGCAAGTTTATGGTCTATTTCACTGGCGTTACTGACACAGTCATTGAATGACAATAACAAAAACAAACGCTGTTGATTTTTAGATTCAGATAATTTTTTGGAGTGCAGATTATAGCTTCGAAATCGCAGCTATCAGCTTCTCCCCTATCCGATATCTGATGGTCGCTTATCATACGCTACACACAACATGCTGACTATGCATGGACTTAAAATATCAACCGTCATGAACCTGGAGATGTGGCTGTTGTCACTGATCAGTGTTCGCGTTCAGGAGTAATTACTGGCTTTTAGTCTTTTACCGGTAAACCTAACCATGGACCGATAATTTGTGTGACTGTAATTCCGAGGGACATTTTGAATTTTCCCTAAAATGTCAAAACTAGAAAAATTAAAAAATCCGCAAAATCAACATCTTAGTGCAAAGAATAATTAAAAGTTCTGAATAAAAACTAAAAGCTAAAACAAAACAAAAACTGAACATGATGTTTTATTTCCCATTTCTGTTATTAACGTTCTGAATGTGCATGACAATATTTAGACCAGCATATAACTAGACGACTTTGCACTATACCAAGGTGTGCTCGACGACTCTATGTAGGCCTTGGCTGGAATACGAGTTTATTCATATGAACTAGACAATATTGAGCTATAAAGAATAAAGCCAGGTGTTATTCTATAAATGTGTTTGTTATTTGTCCAAGTTAGAACTGGCAAAACATTAGAGGGACTGGTAATTTGCTATTGTACTTGGAACAGGAAGTTTCAAAAACTGGCATGCACTGTGAACTCTGCTGCTATTGCTATTTTGTAAAAAACTCAGCCCCTTCATGTCTACAGGTTCATATCTTCGCAGCACATAATAACCATTGTGTCAAGTTGGTTGCATCTGGAAAACTCAACCAAAGATATAGCTGAAGAGCGAAGAATATAATGTAGAATTTAAGTGTACATTGAGTGGACAGGTGCACCATTCTGTATTAAAGTTAATTATGTATTTTTACAGAAGGGAGTGAAGCCTCTCTTCAAGACAACCAAGGAGTCCAAGAGTGATGATGTATTGCACAAACAAGTGATACCATCAGCAGCTCCCAGGTTGCCAGCCAGCAGTAACAACTCTGGCACACTCCCACCAAATTCAGGCACAAGAGACACAGTGGCTGCATCAAGTAATGGTACAGTAATACTCCTGAAGTCGTACATGTTTTACTGCAAGGGGGGATCCATGCTTCCATATCTTATAATAAAAACAGGATGTAGGTCTGTACTTTTGGGGAATAAACAGTCAGTTACCCGACCTGTTTAGTTTCATCATACAGAAGGCAGATAGCAAGATTAGCTTCAGCAGGAATATATACTAAATATGATGATACAGAGGGAACAGGGAAATTGAAAGCTGATGTAGAAAGACTCTGTTTGTTATGCATTTCCACTGTTCTTCTAAACAAAATAATTCAGGAAGTAATTTTTTCTACATTGCAAACAAAATGACATTGAACATGATGAACCGCTGTAAATACCATCATGTATAATGATTTACATTACTTTACTTGAACATTTTATTTATTTCAGATAAAAATACAAATGTTGACAAAGAGGTTGTTAGTAAATTAGGAACAGCTAACAGTTTGACAAAGCAAGTGACAGATAACAAGGTTGAGGTTGCAGCAAAACCCACAAGTTTACAAAAAGAGGCAGGGAAATTGGTGGAAGAAGAACCTGTAGAGTAGGTATATTTTACATTAAAACTGACTATGTTGTCTTGCAGCTGTATGATAATCCTTGCAGCTGTATGCTAATCTGACTATTAAACCAGTGAATACCATAACCAATACATTTGAAATTTTGTAATAAAAATATTACACAGAATTTATCTCTAAATAAAAATGCTATAGTTACCAATTGATTACTTTGCTAGATGAAATGATCAAAACATCCTCTTTTGCTGAAACAAGTAAACCAGTCAACATTGTTCTATTACTCCTACTGTATTCATGAAATGTGGTACTGACACTCAGGCTATGAAACTGATGTCAGTGTTATATTGGAGTGAAACAATAGGTTACATTCAGTGTGTTTAGTCATTCAGGCTGTTTATCTAATGTGTTCTCTTTACAGATCTCTACCAACACTTGCTAAAATAGGAAAAACAAACTCCCTGATTGTTAACCAAAGACAGGTAAGCATTTAGGAGATAAACCTACAGAATGTTATATTGTGATTCGATACCCCAGACTGACCAGCCCAAACTGGCATTAGTTTCCAAACAAAGGGATCTGCCACTAATGTCTGTCGGGGAGGGAGTCCTGGAAAGTTCCCCAACACTCCATCATGGTTGTAAGAGTGTGCTATAATGGGGACTGGTTGGTCCAGTGTAGCCTGGCTGAAGTCACAGCATGATAACATGGATAGTTGCCAGGAGACTGGCATATTGTTGAATGTGGTGTAAAACAACATGCACTCACTTGACATAAACATTGGTGTATTATTTGGGATCAGTGTGAAGACGCACTAATTCATTCTGAGCTTCTTCCATGACACACTGAAGTGCTACTAGAATTCTTCATTACAGGATATGGGGCGGTGGGGTAGTCTAGTGGTTAAAGCGTTGGGTCGTCACGCCGAAGACCCAGGTTCGAAGACCCACATGGGTACAATGTGTGAAGCCCATTTCTGGTGTCCTCCGCCGTGATATTGCTGGAATATTGCTAAAAGCGGCGTAAAACCAAACTCAGTCAGTCAGTCAGTCATTACAGGAAATATCTAGAGATAGTAGCACCTAGGATTATCCAGTGTATTGGCTTTCCATTCTAAATTATGTAACACTGAAAACTTGTCCTCAAGTAGGGTAGTTATGTAACTGGCTGATAGTGTGTAATCATCCCTCATGCCAGTTTAAACTATATACAGGATGCCATAAGATTACTGGAATATTGTTGACTGTGGAGTAAAACAACACTCACTCACTCACTCACTTGACATACACACTGGGGTCATATTTATGATACCTAAGTGTGAAGACACACTCACACATACTAACAATACGATTATAATTTCATGAATGTTTTCAATATTATTTCAGAGAGGAAACCCCATACTGAAGCATGTGAGGAACATCCCCTGGGAATACGGCAACATCGTGCCAGATTATGTTATGGGGCAGTCAACATGTGCACTGTTTCTCAGGTGTGTCTTTACAGTTTCATCAAAAGATTACAAAAACACTCCCACCTTCCAGCAGAGGTGGTGAAAATGCTCGCCAGTGACCCAACAACTTTAATGTTTATTATATTTTACTGTGTGTCATTGTACATGATGGCATGGGACTTCCCTTATTGTCAGTCACTGGATTGTCTGGCCAGACACAATTAATTTCAGTCCACTATTTTAAGGTTCAAATAGTTTGGCATTAAGCAACAAACGATACATTTTGTTTTTGTTTCAGTCTTCGATATCATCAACTAAACCCAGAATATATCCACAAACGGTTACAACTTCTGGGCAAGAGTTTTGATCTGAGAGTGCTGCTAGTCCAAGTTGACATCGTGAGTGTGTCACTCCAACATCAATACTTGTAATGGTCAAATCTGTTAGTTAAGGGGGCGGTGGGGTAGCCCAGTGGTTGAAGCATTTGCTCGTCACGCCGAAGGCCCGGGTTCGATTCCCCACAGGGGCACATTGTGTGAAGCCCATTTCTGGTGTCCCCCGCCGTGATATTGCTGGAATATTGCTAAAAGCGTAAAACCAAACTCAGTCAGTCAGTCGCTGATAGTGTGTAATCATCCCTCATGCCAGTTTAAACTATATACAGGATGCCATAAGATTACTGGAATATTGTTGACTGTGGAGTAAAACAACACTCACTCACTCACTCACTTGACATACTAGTACACACTGGGGTCATGTTTATGATACCTAAGTGTGAAGACACACTCACACATACTAACAATACGATTATAATTTCATGAATGTTTTCAATATTATTTCAGAGAGGAAACCCCATACTGAAGCATGTGAGGAACATCCCCTGGGAATACGGCAACATCGTGCCAGATTATGTTATGGGGCAGTCAACATGTGCACTGTTTCTCAGGTGTGTCTTTACAGTTTCATCAAAAGATTACAAAAACACTCCCACCTTCCAGCAGAGGTGGTGAAAATGCTCGCCAGTGACCCAACAACTTTAATGTTTATTATATTTTACTGTGTGTCATTGTACATGATGGCATGGGACTTCCCTTATTGTCAGTCACTGGATTGTCTGGCCAGACACAATTAATTTCAGTCCACTATTTTAAGGTCCACTAGTTTGGCATTAAGCAACAAGCGATACATTTTGTTTTGTTTCAGTCTTGGCATCAACTAAACCCAGAATATATCCAAAACGGTTACAACTTCTGGGCAAGAGTTTTGATCTGAGAGTGCTGCTAGTCCAAGTTGACATCGTGAGTGTGTCACTCCAACATCAATACTTGTAATGGTCAGATCTGTTATAGGCGTGTGGGGTAGCCCAGTGGTTGAAACATTTGCTTACAACTTCTGATTCCCCAAGAGGGCACATTGTGTGAAGCCCATTTCTGGTGTCCCCATGCGTGATGCTGGAATATCGCTAAAAGCGGCGTAAAACCCAACTCACTCACTCACTCACTGTTAGTTAAGGGGTACTTTGTTGGATAAAAAACTTGAAAACCTTTATTTCATCATCCCTGATCTTAGGAACTAAGATTTACAAACATGGATCCTTTGTAGTCTTCTAAACCTGTGACTCTTGGGTTAGACCGGTTTTACTGAAGTTAAATGCTGCTAGCCAAATATATCAGTGATCAGTTGTTTGGGATGGAACCGTCATCACTCATGATTTCACTACGAATTCCCAGCAGTATTACTGATACATCACATCAGAGGATGCATACAGCAATGAATAGATCCAAGGTGGTACTCCCTAAGTAATAAGGTCTTTTCTTCTGTTTACTTCAGAAAGATCCCCACCATCTGTTAAAGGACCTGGCCAAGATGTGTATTCTGGCAGACTGTACTCTCATGCTGGCTTTCAGGTGATTGTAGTCTTAGACCAATCTCTACATCAAGAGTGTGTTTATAGTGAGCATTTATAGTCTGTTTGGGTTCACAGGAGAACGACAAATGATTAAATAACTCAAAATTGGGATAAGTGCAGAAAACATAAATAAGACGCATGGTCCTGAAACCCCTGTACCCAACAGGATCTGAAATCTGATGTTTTATGATTGATTGCGGAAGAAGTTGTTTAAGAAACCATCATGTAATATTGTGCTATTTTCACGCTTCACACTGAGTGGTGACAAACCGGACTTGCTGGGGTCATCTCACCTGGCTGTGCTGAGTTGCACCAAAATAGCACAATATTACATGATGGTTTCTTTAACAACTTTTTCCTTGATAGATCATAAAACGTCTGACTTCAAATGCACCTCTGTTGGGTACAAAGGTTTCAGGACCATGTGTCTTATTTATGCCTTTTCTGCACTTATCCCTATTTCGAGACCGCCTCCGTGGTGTAGTGGTTAGAGCGTCCGCCCGGAGAGTGGAAGGTCGCGGGTTCGATCCCTGACCGCGTCATACCATAAGACGTTAAAATATGGTACTTGTTGGTCCCTGCCTGGCGCTCGGAATTAATGGGTACAACAAGGACTGGTCGGCTCGAGTCAGTATAATGTGTCTGAGTGGGGTATTCATGCTTCACTGCGGCATGGTATCTCAGTGGGCTATAGCACTATAAAACCAGCTTAAGTCTGGGCTAGTACAAGCAGCCGCACATACACATAAACACGCATGCACGTCGTCATATGAGCGAAATATTCTCAAGAACGACGTAAAACCCAATTTCACCTCACCTCACCCTATTTCGAGATATTTCATCATTCATCGTTCTCATTTGAACCCAAACAGACTATAATCTATTCTTTACTTATGCAGATGGCATTTCGATTCCATTATACATGATATGTCATTTTTTTTATCCTTGTTTCATGATACATGGCTGAAAGTGTTTGTAAAGCATGAAGACATGTTCTTGTGCTGAATGGGCTTATAGAGATATGTTATTTCCGCTACTGGTTGAAAGTTTTGTAAAGACATGTTGTATCCATAACTGGGAGAATGGTTCCATCTGTTTGTGATGTGTAGCCCCGAGGAAGCAGGTCGGTATCTGGAGACGTACAAGGTGTACGAGAACAAACCACCAGAAGCCATCATGGAGAGGACAGAGAACAACTTCATGGCAAAGGTAACTTAACTTACTTTGTTTAGTGCTGCAGTAAGAACTAATCCAGCTGTAAGACGTCTGTCTGTAAGTTATCACTTCTGTGGCACAGTCTAGTGATTGATATTATGATATATTACAGATATCACAATCCATATCATGGTAGAGTGACATGCTGTCACTAAGCTACGGAGTATTACCACCAAGTCCATATTTTGCGTCTTACAACCAGCCTTGATAGTTGGGACCTGTTCTTTCTCTCCACAGGGTGTTTCTTGAAACACACAAAACATGTAAGGATTGAAACATGAGGCACCGGTTTCAAAAGTTTGTCATTTGTGAGTTATCGTTTTCATCTCCAAACGTGTCGTATCTCTTGTCCCCAGATGACAGATTGCCTGACGACCGTGAAGTCCGTCAACAAGACAGACTGCATGACCCTAATGACCACATTTGGGGTGAGCTGCTCAACCTTGTCATCCAATGTATTCAACAACGATAACTGTACAAATTCTTCTTAACTACCTTTCTGGTACTCAGATTAGGTTCTTCTGTCCCAGAAATATTGCTTCACGAAGCCATGAAAATGTCTTACTGCAGTATGTTCAGCCACCAGACGGATGGTAATTGCTTGCTAAGATTGGACATTTCATGGCTGATGTCATAGTTAAAGTGTAATGGCCTGGTTAAAGATGATCTCATGTTTTATTAGTGTCTATTATCCGGTTTATTAAATCTGTGACAACTGTATTTTCTCACAGGTTAACTGGACAAAAATATGGATAATATACACATGACTAGTATTTATGAACAGTATAATTCACAAAGTGATACAATGGATTCATCAATTGAAAGATTATTATCAATCATATGTATCAAAACACACTTTTTATTTAGCTGAAGGTCACATGACCTTCATCGATATGAATCAAAAGAGTTTTCAGCGGGCAGACCTGAACATGTTTAGTAGTGGTTTATAGCAGATTTGAAAGAAGATAGATTTCCGTATCTGTATGTTTTTCATTGTGGAGATTACAATATTAATTTCAATTTCTCAAGGAGCACTGTTGTGACGTCGAAAGGCGATCTGATGAATGAAACTGCATCACAACATTTCGAATTAATGATCTAAGTGTATTTGTCTCTTGCTTCTAAATACTGTTGACTAATACAGTTGGCTATGAACTTGCTCTATCATGGACTTACACTTGTTATATGATAGCCATGAACATTCTATAAGATAAGCCATAAAAGATGCTTTGTGATGGCCTTGAACTTGCTAAATGATGGCCTTGAACTTGCTATATGACAGAGCCTGGAGAAGGTGATGAAGGCTGGCAAGGAGGAGCTGTCGCTGTGTCCAGGGTTCGGACCTCAGAAGGTATGTGGCTGAGCAGATACATCTCAGCTGACAGCTTCTTGACATTTATCAAGCTTGGAAGTTCATCTGATTGAGTTGTTCTGATCACATCTTTGGTTCAAGCATCAACTACTTTAAGTCTTGGAAGTTTTGGGAAAAGCATTAAGGCTTCCGATTTACACTACTCTTACATCCTGCATTTGCTAGCTGTTATTGTTTCTTTACAAACTACTGAGTGTTTACGTCTGCTCCAGGCCCAGCGACTCCATGATGTGTTCCATCAGCCCTTCTTGAAAAGTAGGAAAAGACAACATGGCAACACAAAAGGTAGCAATGCTTTCTTTGACACTGAAACTTGTGTATAGGATGAGTGAAGGTTCATTGTGACTGCTACCCAAACCAAGGAGTTTATTTACAACAAATAATAAAGACAAATATGCAATTTATATAATCATATATACATACAAGACATTATGACATTTGGGGGCGGTGGGGTAGTATAGTGGTTAAAGCGTTGTCTCGTCACGCCGAAGACCCGGGTTCGAATCCCCACATGGGCACAATGTGTGAAGCCCATTTCTGGTGTCCCCCGCCCTGATGTTGCTGGAATATTGCTAAAAGCGGCGTAAAACCAAACTCAGTCAGTCAGTCAGTTATGACATTTGGAATTACATTATTCAAATTCTCAATATGTTTACCTTCATCTGTTTACACTGCATGATCAAACAGTCTTCTTTCATTGTACTCCAACAGTCAGATTGGCTGTGAAGGCAGATGCCATGGTTGGGGACTTAAGATTTAATGCCCGTATGTTTTCAGGTACACCAGAAAAGTCTGAACCAAGCCCATCGAAGTCTGCAAGATAACACATAATGTGTCCATTCATGTTTGCTTATTCTGTACTGCCCAATGTACTTCAGTTGATTGCTTTGAAGTTGAACACGGTTGATCTTATGGTGCTGAAAACTGGAAACCACTGCCCAATGAAATGAACTCTCAACAAGAAATTCACCCGTGTTCAGTGAAGGAGGGAGTAATGGTGCTGCACAGTCCATCCAACCGACACCCATCATGGGTTCCCAAGAAGGCAGCTCTGGAAGATGTGCAGCTGACTGCCAGGAATCCATCAAATGAAAACCTAATGCTGGAAGACCTGAAGGAAGATATGACCAATGGACTTCAATCTTCATCACATCATGTCACAATTGTAGAAAACCTTCATGCCACAGCATTTTACACCTCATTAATCCATCATCCATTAATCTGATCACCTTCAGTGGATGGATGGCATCTCTATAGCATTTCCATTTTCAGCTGTGATGTTTGAAATTATAGTCTGTTTGCAGTGAAAACGTACCGATGAATTCCACTTTAAACAAAAAAGTAAATCGAATAAAGTGATAATATGACTGCGAATCCTCATAATTTTACCTTGCCAATTGAGCATTTAAATCTCAGAATTTTATTCAACTTAGGATAAAAGTTGTTTAACAAACGATCATGGTTTCAAACCGCTATTATTGGTTTGTATTACAAGGGGGTATGCACATTAGATGAAACACCTAGAACAAGTATGTTTGGTCTAAGTTAACGCTCATCACGTACCGCACGTGCATTTGTTTCACTGTTCCAACTACTACGCTTACCACCTTGTAATACAAATCAATAATAGCGATTTGAATCTATGATCGTTTGTTAAAGAACTTTTATTCTCAGATGAATAAAATTCTGAGATTTAAATGCTCAATTGGCAAGATAAAATTAAGAGGATTCGCAATCTTAATTTCACTTTATTTGATTTACTTTTTCGTTTAAAGTGAAATTCAACCGTACATTTTCTCTGCAAACAGACTATAGGCCAGGTTGTGCCTGACCATTAATTTGGTGCAAAGTATTCAAAGGCTTCAAATCGGAGTCATCTATCCAAAACTCCTCCTCAAGCACCCAGAAACTCTTCCATTGTGACATGAGAGTGAGGTGACGGCGAGCTGGCTGATGTCTCTAATCCCAGTATGAAACAACCACACTGAATGGATCTTAACAAACAGTTCAAATATCTTTGGATTTATGAGATCTGTTTCATCTGATTGTAAAATTTTCAAACAGATCCTTATATAATGAAGTGTTGATATTTGATTTCCCTACTGGAATGGGAATCAGCAATTTGATACATTGTCCAAAATGAGGCAGATGTAATAGTCATTCAAGTGCTAACAGTTTATGCTTGGTTCATCATCATCACTATTTATTTTTACAACATAAAATAATTTTTTTTATAGTTTTATTTTTTTTCATTCACGGAATAACAGGTTTCATTGTGAACATTTCATCATCATTAATTTGCTAGAAGAAAAGGTGTAGCCTGGTTGTTTAATCATCTAGTCATCAAACAAAAGACCCTAGTCAAATTCCTCACATGGATACAATGGGTGTGCATATTTATGATGCACCAAAGTACAACATTACTACCCTGATCAGCGGGTCAGTGTGGGGACCATGCAACCCAAGCTGGATTACGAGGTGCTAGCTTAAGTCACATTACAGCTCATCCTACCGGGTACCCCTGATCAGCGGGTCAGTATGGGGACCATGCAACCCAAGCTGGATTACGAGGTGCTAGCTTAAGTCACATTACAGCTCATCCTACCAGATACCCCTGATCAGCGGGTCAGTATGGGGACCATGCAACCCAAGCTGGATTACGAGGTGCTAGCTTAAGTCACATTACCACTCATCTTACCGGGTACCCCTGATCAGCGGGTCAGTATGGGGACCATGCAACCCAAGCTGGATTACGAGGTGCTAGCTTAAGTCACATTACCACTCATCTTACCGGGTACCCCTGATCAGCGGGTCAGTATGGGGACCATGCAACCCAAGCTGGATTACGAGGTGCTAGCTTAAGTCGCATTACAGCTCATCCTACCGGGTACCCCTGATCAGCGGATCAGTACTGGGACCATGCAACCCAAACTGGATTATGAGGTGCTAGCTTAAGTCACATTACTGCTTATCCTACCGGGTACCCATTCACTATGAATGGCGAACAGAGGCACATTTTGACCAAAGTCACCTGCCCAAGTAGACACAACACGTAACTTGTTTTAATGGAACAGGACTAATGGCTCATATATTCTAAGGGTTTCAATACCAATTGTAGCATGGTACAATCACCTACACCTATTCTCTATGACTAATGTGCCCAATTTGCAATATGCTCTGTTCACACATGCCACCTCTGATTTTGAGTATAATATTCAGTGGGATAAATATTTGATCTGCATGAAGGTGCATGTTCAGGATAAGCCACACACAAACAGATGTTCACCTAATTATGTCAAGTGACGGATACCCAAGAACAAGTACAGTTGAACACTTACGAGTCGAAGTTGAAGTTATCTGAGGGTTCCACACAGCTGGAACATGTCGACAATAAATAATATGCAGGGAACATGCGTTTCTCTGAGACAACCATAACATGTCACAACAGTGTTTGACTGCACATACCATGCACCGACCAGAGGGACCAAGACCTGATTCGGACTCCTTCATGGAATCCAATCAAAACAGAACTAGATGCAACCCAGTAAATAATAGATTTATTCCCACAGTAATATGTGTATACCATGTCTGAAAACAATAGTAGAACCTCACTGATATGTTGGACCATCTGAAGTAACAGGTGCCCACCTGGATGAATGTGGAATACTGTCACTCCAAACAAGCATTCTTTCTTACGAAAAACTGGGATGTAATCATGTATTTGATTCATGACTTGAGGTACTAATTCAGACATGAAATTATTTGTTGAATCCATTAAGTTTCATCTGATGTGGAACACTTAAATAGTTGCTCCTATTATGTTATTTATTATGGTTTGGTTATTGTTAAACGCCACACTCAGCAATATTCCAGCTATACATTGGCAGTCTGTAAATAAGTTAGGTCTTTAAGTGGCATTTAGAAGTGATACACATAAAAAAGAGTTTGACGGATGTCAACTTCTTTATTTTGAGGAACATAACTTTTTTCACAGTATATCATTACTCCATCAGGTGGTCATCATTCATAAAACTCTCTTTCTTATGTAAATAGGTTATTCATTATGACATAAGGATATTCAAACAGACTTTTCAATGTGGAGTAGTTGCATCATGTCCCATAACGAATTAAGACTCATCACATCAATAAACTTTGCATTGCAAATATACAAGCATATATATAGAAGATGGCAAGTAGCTTTAAAGCCTCAATGTACAGTGCATACAATTATGAATTTGGTCATTTAAAATAATTATAGTGAGGTGTAAATGAACATGAATAAACCATTTCCACTGCAAATCTGAAGTTGATTAAAGCCACTCTCAGCAATATCTCCGCTATTTGATGGCACCAGCACACTAAATCAAGTCTGGACATGTCATAACAACCACAGCTGGTACCTTACCCACAATCCCGACCCACTGGGTTGTCACACTACATTCTCAATGTACTGACAGACCATAAACAAGTATAACTGGAAAGTACACAATAATTTAGCAACAAATTAAAACCATAAAAAGAGTTAATGACCATGCAATACTACTATAGTTAATTGTCATGGCATGAGAGATTAACTACAGAAAAGAAACAAGTGACCCTAACTCTTTTTTGAGTATTATAGAATAGCATTACCAACTCCATATTCCTCTCAAAATACCAGCCAACTTGTATGCCTATTCTGGCACAACAAGGTAACAGACATGACTTGTTCTGCTAATGTCAAACACAACACAAATAACACAGGTGACAGATTGATGACCTTGGATTTCAGTAGACAAGGTGAGTATGATGTTGATGAATTGAGATCACTGTGAATCCTGTTTACTTTTTTTCAGTTCCATTCCGTACTGCAGTGGCATTTTGGAGATCTGGTATTGGTGACTTGAGCCTCACAGCCGGTAGTCGTGATCCTGAATTACATTGTAATGAAAACGACAATGAACATAGTGAACTTGCAATCCCCTAGATTACCTAGCAGAATAATAATGACTGTGGAACTATAACGTGCATAACTAATACCTGCTGTCACATTAATGTTGGATAACAACATTGGTACACAGCTATTCAGTGTGTATCCCTATGGCAACCTATCAGCATGGGTTTGATAATATTCCTGTGTGACCGCACCCTATATGTGCTAAAGTGGTTCACACCCAAGACTTGCATCACCTCAGGGCTTTTCCAACTCATTAAACTGACAAAAAGGTCATATCACTGGAACACTGTTCAAATCAGTATTAACCAAACTCACTCTCCCTCTCTCTCACCCACCCACTCACTCACTCAGCTATTTCTTTACTAATCGGTATGAGTGGCAAGCTTAGTCAGGACAAAGACTTCAAAAGAGATGTTTCATTGCTATCGCATAATGATTCCTGAAATAATTTCTGAATCAGAGATACCATACGAATATCTGGAACAACAAATTTACACTCTGCTGTTACAGAAACATGTTACAACAAAACACAAACACTGACATAGAAACACTGAAACCCCTGGTTATCACAGGGTTGAAATTAGAGTGGAAGGTCTTTCAAAAGATGTAAAAATATTCGCCTTTGGGCCCATGTGGAAACCAGGACTTAGGATTGATTTACTTGGATGAATTTTTTAATACTGAACATTTTTAGTTTCCAAACCTATGACTTCTGAGAATTATTCTGGAGAACAAACCTCAAAATGAAAGGTCATAAACAAAGCCAAAAGTTAAAATACAGCACATTCTTAGTAGCGCATGTTAAATATGACATAACTTGCAGAATTCTCTGAATAATGACGTCACCATGACAACAAGCATCCATACAAAGCTAAAGCTCCATTGCTTCTTACACACGACTCGAAAGATGTTAAAACACAGGAGTCTTTCATATTACTACAGTTACTCTGTCCTGCTATGGCGGAACACAATACATATGAGAGAATTGTGTTCTGCAACTATATTCTAGTAGTGTATGTCCAACACAAATGTACAGGACGTATATGGAAGATGAGTAACACACAACATGACATGATCACACGGAAGACTACATAGGAGGGTACAAAAGTAAGATAGGTCCTTGGGTCTGAGTCAGCTCTTTTCCTAAATGAACCTAGGGACCCCTTAACCTCAAGACCAGGACCCCTTGACCTTCACCTGAACACAGCTGCAACAATGTTTCCCACTCATACAGGTTTAATGGCTGAGGTTAAAACAGACATGGCACAACGACTTTGACAACGAGATATACTCACATGGTAACCATTATAAAATACACTGCATGATGTTAGTTTTCAGCTGAATAAAAAGAAATTTCATCTGTAACATTTTCCCTCAAATAACACTGTCCACCTCTGACACAAATCCAAACTAAAGTGGTTGGTAATGGGTTTGTCTATCATAAGCATGATTAGGAGATAAGGGGAGGTTGTTCATCCTCGATAATCTCCAGGGTATATGTTACGATAAATCTCCACTATAGTTTCGCATGAAATGCATGTGGACCCGGTTTTTTGTAAATATCTCTTCATCCAATGACCCAATCGATCTCAAACTGTGCAAGTGGTTGTTTTGTCAGACAACCTAATCACATTGTAAATCACCGATTTTATGCATTTGTATTAAAGAATCCGTCTATGTAACTGTCAACAAAATATACAGCAGAATACTAACTGCGTGCAGAGGGAGGGAGCCAATGACCTGTAACAGCGGCAGTGTTGGGTCATAAAGGTAAATGCACCCTGGATGCATCTATGGCTCGGCCCGATAATGTTATTACCTCCCTTTGCTGGCTCCGCATTCTCACAGTAGCCAATCAGCTAAGCCGCCATTACAACCAAGCTTGCCAGTGTAACAAAGATGGCGGTCGTAGCCACGAAGGTTTGTTGGCAGTGCGACTCAGATTTAGGGGGAAATCATACAGACAAATTGACAGGTCTGAAACCTTAAAAAAGTATAGGCCAGAACTCTTTCTACCTCTTTCAGAGTACCTCTGAAACAATTATGTTGCCAAGTTTAATCGGTTAGATAAAAGAAGTGAAAGTGAGTTGTGATTGGTACGCTCAACTTCACAGCTTAGACACCTGATTAGATAAAAAGCCAACCAAGGGAGGTAATAAAATCATGGGGCCGTAGATGGAGATTTAGTTTAGTGGAGATTTATCAGAACGTATACCCTGGACATTATCGAGGATGGAGGTTGTTTGGAAACAACAAAATTCCAAAATAGAATTGCCTCTGGTTGGACATAAACAAACTTAGACTGCCTCAAGTTTTACAATAACAAATACAATACTGGAGAGACATTAAACTCCTCCTTACAGACCAGTTATTGTTAATGTAATATTTCAAATATTTTTTCTTACACATAGCCATGCAAGAGGAGAGGTACAACTTGATATAAGAATCTGAATTCTGCTAACATGCTAAGGCTATCACATCTCACCTTTTATATTATTTTTTAGCTGGAACTCCTTGATCCCTCGCACTAGCAGCCCTTCCTTTAGCTGTTCAAGCTCTTCTCGTAACTTGGCTACTTCCTGCAAAACAGAACCTCACACTTTGTTCAACAAAGACTTTCAGCTCTGCCAAAGATGGCAGCAATTGTCAGTCATGTCACAGAGGTCAGCTTTCTTCCAGTTGTATCACAACATTCACAGAGGCCAACTTTCAGCATGTTGAGGGGCGGTGGGGTAGTCTAGTGGTTAAAGCGTTGGCTCGTCACACCGAAGACCCGGGTTTGAATCCCCACATGGGTACAATGAGTGAAGCCCATTTCTGGTGTCCCCCGCCGTTATATTGCTGGAATATTGCTAAAAGCGGCGTAAAACCAAACTCAGTCAGTCAGTCAGTCAGTCAGCATGTTGATCATCATCATCATCATCAAATTGGGGCAGTGGGGTAGCCTAGTGGTTAAAGTGTTCGCTTGTCACGCCGAAGACCCGGGTTTGATTCCCCACATGGGTACAATGTGTGAAGCCCATTTCTGGTGTCCCCCGCCGTTATATTGCTGGAATATTGCTAAAAGCGGCGTAAAACCAAACTCAGTCAGTCAGTCAGTCAGTCAGCATGTTGATCATCATCATCATCATCAAATTGGGGCAGTGGGGTAGCCTAGTGGTTAAAGTGTTCGCTTGTCACGTCGAAGACCCGGGTTTGATTCCCCACTTGGGTACAATGTGTGAAGCCCATTTCTGGTGTCCCCCGCTGTGAGTTTGCTGGAATATTGCTAAAAGCAGCATAAAACTATTCATCAAATCACTCATCATCAAATTAGACACATTTACCTCGGTACATTTTTGCATAGATGAGAACTCTCCTTTTGGCTCCTCAGTAGGCCTGAAAGGTTCTTCCTTTTTAATCTCTGCTGTTTCAGAAAGTATTTTCTGGTTTTCTTTTGACAGATAATATCCAGCATCTTCAAATATTTTTCTTAACTTTTTCTTGTAGCCCTGGAACAGAAGCACATCATACTGTTGGATAATCTGACACCAAAATGTTTTACTTGAGAAATACTCATAACAACAACACATCTGCAACAGTCACACAGGGCAGTGATCAAACGTGTGCAGTGCTTACATCTCCCACAACTAATTTCTTCTAGTGTCCATGTTTCTGTGTGACACTGCTTTGAGCAGCATTTCAATTACATTGCGTGTGTCAGCTTGATGTCAGCGGAAAATTAAAAGTATTGAAGATCTTAGAAACAGATCGCTTTGATAAATCCCACAAGCATGGTATTGACTGACAAACCAAGAAACCTAATGAGGCTAACCTAAGTTTCAGCCATGCCAAGGGACAGAACTCTGCACAGTGAGTTATTCCTGCACCCACATGTATACCATTCATGTTTGAATGTCTTACCTGTTGAGTAATTTCCTCCCTGACAAGCTCCCCCTCAACCCTGTCCCACTCAGCCCTCAGTTCCCGTGCTAGGGTGGGGTACACCAGCATGGAGTGGTTGTGGCAGACAAGGGGGGTCAAGAAGTCCATGTGGTACTGACAAGTGTGTGGCTCCGACACAGTCGTTAACTGGCTGTGATTGCTACACTTGAAAAACACCTGACAACAAGCAGGGGAAGACATCTTAGTAATAACTATAACTTACAATAAACCCTACATTCTTAACACTGGTTTAACACTGGTTTAACACTGTAAGGCAATCATGGCAACATGAATGAAGCATCTTCCGTGACAATACAGTTAACATTATGTGAAATATATGACAGTCAACTGTCCTGAAGAAAAACAATGCAAATTGTCACAATAGCCATGACTTAGGACAGAAAAGCAGGGCTTGAAACAGTCCTTGGTTACCATGACCAAAACGTCAAATGTATATTTCTGCAAATTCTTCACCACATATGCCAAAGTATACCATGCTGTACATCAAAGTTCCTAATCATACATAACAGACTGAGTAACCATGGCACAGAATGTTGTACAGGAGGGGAAAACCATTGTGTTTAAACAGCTACAAATTACAACCTAATTATGTTTAAAATGAATATCACGTTTATCTCATCATGGTGGTACCATATTTTGCTGTAGAACTCATAATCTACAAAATATTTATATGACAATCCAACTTTAATATAGTTGTAAAACTTATTTCAACTTAACGTTCCAAACACCAGTACGTAGTTTATACTATATGACTTTAGGGTTTGCCCCAATAATCATGGTAATAACTTATAGAGTTCCATATTAAACATTCTCCAACAGTTCATTATACAAATTCTCTTAAAGGTCACATGCAACCAAAAAATCAAACATAATTAAAACACAATTATCACTTATTCATGACATATAGTATACATTGCTGGTCATGAAAATACATATAAACAAAATAATAAGCGTACAATCGCAAATCAAAAGTGCAATATTTTGTACTTCAGTTTACTTCCCAAGAAACGAAGCAGCCGGGATACCGAACCCAGTCAGAGTGGGTGGGTGTCACTGGTGTAACGGCTGGTTCATTTGCAGATGCCCTCACGGCACATTGTGTGTGTATATATATAGAGATGTTGGGTTTTGTAAATACATGCTCATTTTTTTTGTATAACATTTTGCAATCAACAGACATCATAACATGTCATGTGTTCAAGTATCACACCTGCCTGTCTGTGTAATTACATAATGTGACAGAGACCGAACTCGGGCCATAAATCAATGCATTTTGTTTATGGTGTATAGCCTGATTGGTGTTAAGTTTAAATTGCATGTGGTCAGTGATCGCAGTTGTGTATTGAATATTGTCATTAGCAGACAGGCAGGCAGACACACAGGTGCCATTAAAACAAGACATTGAGTTTTGTCTGTGACAACGACATATCTATATCACAGTTAGAAATTCTGTCAACGCTAAATAATGACATTGTTTTAAGTATCAAACTGAGAAAGTGACTCGGTAAGAAGAACGTGTGGTGAAATAGACAAATGAAATTATATAAACAGTTTATTTACTGTCATAACATATAAAAAAGCTCGCGCCTGTGAGATATCAACAAAACATTAGGAAAATAGCTCACACCAAAGCCTTCACCGAGTATTCACCGGACAGCCCGCTTCCAAGTTGCGCGAACCTATTTCACTGCGCACGTGCTATGAGCACAGCCCAGCTGTTGAAACCAGTTTTCCCCCGAAAAGTCGGGGGAAAATTAGTGAATCGTTGTATCAGAATCTGCAAAGTTGTGTTTTACGTTGCATGTGACCTTTAAACAAATTGAAAGGAATCCTGTACATTTATCGTCAGCTGTTACAATGTTCTGTAAGTCTGTGAACTAGAAACTCTGAAGAAATCTTTGATTTGTAGACAACAGGTACTTCTTCATTTAGCTGTAACTGTGTGCTGCCCACAAGGCAGGATTTACTTTCTCATGTAAAATCTAGCAAGATGCCACAGGTCTGAAGACTATTGTTATACAATACGTTATATTTGGGATTACACTTTCTTAGTACAGATTCTTGTACTTTTGTTGGGTTGAGTCCCATCCGGGCTTGAACCCACACCCTCAGAGTCAGGCACTTAATCACCAGCACACAAAGTCAGCCACCTAACCCGCGCAACCACCTCTACTTCCACAAAATGAAAGTCAGATAACTGGTAGTCTAGACTGCGGACTTTGTGTACCCTTCTGATAAGCATCGTGGCAGCTCCCACGGCCGAAAGCTATGATTACACAATGCCATTTAGAAAGTGGTCAAATGTAACAAACGTTATATTTGGGATTACACTTTCTTAGTATAAAGTACAGATTCTTGTACTTTTGTTTGGGTTATGGGTTATGGGAGCCTCTTGAAACTTGAGACTGATAATATGATGGACATGCATTAAACAGTTTCATCAGTTGAGTAGCATGTGACACTAACCTTGACTGATCTGAAAATATCACCACAAGCATCACCCTCCCTCATAATCATGGCGGTGAATCTGTTGTTCTCGATATCCCACTCCTGATACACTCTGTCAAAAAAACATACATCATGACACTTGACAGACATGCATAGCTGTAATGTCTTTAACAAGGTCTTTCTTCATAAGTCTTGTTCAGAATTCAAACTCTTTTCCCTTCACTGAACTCAGTAAAATCTCTATTTACATGTGTATTGAAATAAATAACACTGCTAACTTCTACAATTTAAAGCAGATAGTTGTTTAAATGGCAGATAGTTGTTTAAATGGCTAACTTGCAGCTAACTTCCATTATGTGATATAGCACATGACTGACTGACTGACTGAGTTTGGTTTTACGCCGCTTTTAGCAATATTCCAGCAACATCACGGCGGGGGACACCAGAAATGGGCTTAACACATTGTGCCCATGTGGGGATTCGAACCCGGGTCTTCGGCGTGACGAGTCAACGCTTTAACCATTAGGCTACCCCACCGCCCCATATAGCACATGAAACAATGATACAATATCTTTCATATTTTATTAGGGTATCTTCATAATTTATGGCTAGGGGGGTGATGATGTTTTTAGGGGGTGGTCACCCATTTTGTTCTGGAGAAATAGGGTGTTCATCAAATTTGTACACATTTTGGGGGGAAGAAAATCAATTTTGCACATATAAATATTAAAATTTTTTGCTTAACATAAATAGGAAAGGGTGGGGTGGCCATTGATTTTGTACATGAAATTGGGGGTGGGTGTGTTTACTTTTGTACACATTGGGGGTGGGGGTTTTGGGGGACATTCCCTTTGTATATGCTTTTCCATACAAATCATCATCACCACCACCACCCCACCCACCCCAACCCTAGCCATAAATTATGAACAGTCCCTTTAGGATAAACAATTTTGTAACTATCTGCAATCTTGATGTAAACCTGATGCAAATTTGATCTACAAGTATAGTGATGTTTAAGCTGACAAGTCATTTTCATAAGCGTATACTATTTACTGATCCTCAACATCACCATGTAAATTTGTTACTTATCTTGAACACAGCCATCATGTAATTACTTCAAACAAGACACACATTTACCATGTTTACCTGGTAGTGGTACATATTCTCAATGCTCTGAATACTGAATACCATATTTGTCATAATAGGCACCCAAGTTCTTTAGAAAATTGATAACGGGGGCACTTAGTACACCATAGAAGCAGTCATTAATTCAAACATTGATGAAATGAAACATTTTAGATAAATCTAACGTCAGTTATACCCCTTCTGCACTGATGTCCGCTGTAAAACAATCTGAATAACGAAGAAAATATAGACTGCCATGTAATGTTTTGGTTCTTGGAGGGGTACTTGTCAATTACTTACTGATTGGTCTAGAAATTGGTCAGGGGGCGACTTTAGCAACTGGGTGTTTAATATGGCTAATATGGTATCATGAATACAATGTGCAACTTTTCACATGCCAGTTCTGTACACTGGTATAAGCTCTACAACACAGCTCACCCCAGCACTCCACTGTATGGATTCCATCTCAAACTTTGCTCATGCTGGGTCACGTTGGAGAAGGGACAGAACTCATATTTATAGCTGGAAGCAAACAGGCACAAGGAAATGTACATAACAGCACCTGTGAGACCTTCACACTACAAGTACCATGATTAGTGGGTGGCATTGTCTGAGTGTTAGGTGATTCAACATAGATATGAAACAGTCCTACAAACACCATATGACTTTAATCAGTTAATCACAGACATAAGACTCAGCTGACATACTGGGGAAGTGTTTGAAATAAGTACACTCTGGAGCCAAAATGTTTAAATAAATACAAATCATTATGATCTTGCTTAAGTGGCAAACTTCTTAACTTGGAATTATACTAAATTACCACTTAAAATTCTAAATATGTAACTGGGCATTGTAGTACATTTGGTTACTTACCAGTCGATTACGGTAACATGCATTTTATTTAATTACCATTGATCTCCCTTTGATATATATACCACAAAATATAATTGATGAACATAGAACATAAATAACAAACAAATTAGGCACTGATCATGCTAACTCTTTAACTGATGACAACTATTACTGGCTGGCTGTGTTGTCATCTTGGTTGGTTCAGGTGAGTCATGTTCCAGCTCACTTATCACGAAGAGAAAATCAGGGACTGGGATTTGCAATGTGATCTGTAATACATGAAAGGAGGTGGCCCCGAAGATGGGCCTACAGTGACAACAATACGGTAATGATGTGAGACTGATCTGCTGTCCATGGGCCTACAGCCACAACAATAGGGTAATGATGTGAGACTGACCTGCTGTCCAGGGGCCTACAGTGACAACATTACGGTAATGATGTGAGACTGATCTGCTGTCCAGGGGCCTACAGTGACAACACTACGGTAATGATGGGAGACTGATCTGCTGTCCATGGGCCTACAGCCACAACAATAGGGTAATGATGTGAGACTGACCTGCTGTCCAGGGGCCTACAGTGACAACACTACGGTAATGATGTGAGACAGACCTGCTGTCCAGGGGCCTACAGTGACAACACTACGGTAATGATGTCAGACTGACCTGCTGTCCAGGGGCCTACAGTGACACTACGGTAACACTACGAGTAATGATGTGAGACTGACCTGCTGTCCAGGGGCCTACAGTGACAACACTACGGTAATGATGTGAGACAGACCTGCTGTCCAGGGGCCTACAGTGACAACACTACGGTAATGATGTGAGACTGACCTGCTGTCCAGGGGCCTACAGTGACAACACTACGGTAATGATGTGAGACAGACCTGCTGTCCAGGGGCCTAGAGTGACAACACTACGGTAATGATGTGAGACTGACCTGCTGTCCAGGGGCCTACAGCGACAACACTACGGTAATGATGTGAGACTGACCTGCTGTCCAGGGGCCTACAGCGACAACACTACGGTAATGATGTGAGACTGACCTGCTGTCCAGGGGCCTACAGTGACAACACTACACGGGTAATGATGTGAGACAGACCTGCTGTCCAGGGGCCTACAGTGACAACACTACGGTAATGATGTGAGACTGACCTGCTGTCCAGGGGCCTACAGCGACAACACTACGGTAATGATGTGAGACTGACCTGCTGTCCAGGGGCCTACAGCGACAACACTACGGTAATGATGTGAGACGACAACACCACTGTAATGATGTGAGACTGACCTGCTGTCCAGGGGCCTACAGCGACAACACTACGGTAATGATGTGAGACTGACCTGCTGTCCAGGGGCCTACAGTGACAACACTACGGTGATGATGTGAGACTGACCTGCTGTCCAGGGGCCTACAGCGACAACACTACGGTAATGATGTGAGACTGACCTGCTGTCCAGGGGCCTAGAGTGACAACACTACGGTAATGATGTGAGACTGACCTGCTGTCCAGGGGCCTACAGCGACAACACTACGGTAATGATGTGAGACTGACCTGCTGTCCAGGGGCCTACAGCGACAACACTACGGTAATGATGTGAGACTGACCTGCTGTCCACCAGGCTGAAGCACTTCCCCACCAGTCTCTTGAGATGAGCAGGCCCGGAGAAGTTGGCTGGCCGAACTCTCATCTGCAGTTTATCTTCTGGAGACTGGTACAGGCCACCAAAACTGTTGCTTAAACTGGGAATGGAAACAGTGTTGCATTACATATCAAATAGCAAGTGTTTTTCGTGAATGCTGTAAATATTTTCATATGTGTAAATAACTATCTCTGTACATAGGTCTCTACCATTTCTGTACTATATTTCTTTCTGTATTACATGTATGTTGTTGTATATTTCTCATGATGTAAATACTCGGGGGGTGGTTACCCAAGTTGGTTAACTTGTTCCTAATCCCTTTCTTCACTGAATAAAATATGTTTAGATAAATGGAAACAGTAGATAACACAGTGATGTACTTGTCACTGACAGCTTGGGGATGGTTGTCACCGCATCACTGCATGTTCCAGAACATAGATCCCTATAATTATTTATACATCACATTTACATCATCAGTCATTTCAAATGCAGCATTTTCCATCTGGTAAAGAAGAAATAATTTAACTGGTACTCACCCATTAGCTTGATGTGCTCATCGACTATCTTCATACTGACCATATCACCATTTACATCTGATAAAGAAGGAATAATATATCCTGTAAGCTCCTGTCTTCTCCTCAAGATGCCCATCTGCAGTGGCCTCTGCACCACACAACAGTTTATTATTCGCTGCCGCAGTGTGTATACATGGTGTATAGGGTCTGTAAGTAGGTCATGGCACTTCAGCGTGTCCTTAGTACCCTCTGGCAGTGACAATGTACACTTGGTCTGGTCTAGTAAAGTCATATTTGGCTGTAACAAGCAATTTTGAACCAACAGTACTGGTTCTTGAACATATGCTTGTCACCAGAAATCTGGTACTTTGACGGTAAGCTGGGCCCCATCTCACATATCACAACCTAGCATGCACAAAGGGAGCTAGGAACCAGCTTATTATTGGAATGCTAGGACCTCTCGGGACTTACAGGCCCTATAATGCAATAAACAGTATTCCACCCTCAAAATATTCTAATCTCAACAAAGCGAAACAGTTAAGCATAAGGCATAAGCAATGATATCGCGCCAAGTCTTGAAATCAAACAAGTTACAGTTCTCCAGCAAAATATAATTGATGAACATAGAACATAAATAACAAAACAAATTAGGCACTGATCATGCTAACTCTTTAACTGATGACAACTATTACTGGCTGGCTGTGTTGTCATCTTGGTTGGTTCAGGTGAGTCATGTTCCAGCTCACTTATCACGAAGAGAAAATCAGGGACTGGGATTTGCAATGTGATCTGTAATACATGAAAGGAGGTGGCCCCGAAGATGGGCCTACAGTGACAACAATACGGTAATGATGTGAGACTGATCTGCTGTCCATGGGCCTACAGCCACAACAATAGGGTAATGATGTGAGACTGACCTGCTGTCCAGGGGCCTACAGTGACAACATTACGGTAATGATGTGAGACTGATCTGCTGTCCAGGGGCCTACAGTGACAACACTACGGTAATGATGGGAGACTGATCTGCTGTCCATGGGCCTACAGCCACAACAATAGGGTAATGATGTGAGACTGACCTGCTGTCCAGGGGCCTACAGTGACAACACTACGGTAATGATGTGAGACAGACCTGCTGTCCAGGGGCCTACAGTGACAACACTACGGTAATGATGTCAGACTGACCTGCTGTCCAGGGGCCTACGTGACAACAGTGACTACACTCACGGTAATGATGTGAGACTGACCTGCTGTCCAGGGGCCTACAGTGACAACACTCTGGTAATGATGTGAGACAGACCTGCTGTCCAGGGGCCTACAGTGACAACACTCACGGTAATGATGTGAGACTGACCTGCTGTCCAGGGGCCTACAGTGACAACACTCACGGTAATGATGTGAGACAGACCTGCTGTCCAGGGGCCTAGAGTGACAACACTCACGGTAATGATGTGAGACTGACCTGCTGTCCAGGGGCCTACAGCGACAACACTACGGTAATGATGTGAGACTGACCTGCTGTCCAGGGGCCTACAGCGACAACACTCACGGTAATGATGTGAGACTGACCTGCTGTCCAGGGGCCTGCAGTGACAACACTACGGTAATGATGTGAGACTGACCTGCTGTCCAGGGGCCTACAGTGACAACACTCACGGTAATGATGTGAGACTGACCTGCTGTCCAGGGGCCTACAGCCACAACACCTCACGGTAATGATGTGAGACTGACCTGCTGTCCAGGGGCCTACAGCGACAACACTCACGGTAATGATGTGAGACTGACCTGCTGTCCAGGGGGCCTACAGCGACCAACACTACGGCAATGATGTGAGACTGACCTGCTGTCCAGGGGCCTACAGTGACAACACTACGGTGATGATGTGAGACTGACCTGCTGTCCAGGGGCCTACAGTGACAACACTCACGGTGATGATGTGAGACTGACCTGCTGTCCAGGGGCCTAGAGTGACAACACTACGGTAATGATGTGAGACTGACCTGCTGTCCAGGGGCCTACAGCGACAACACTCTGACGGTAATGATGTGAGACTGACCTGCTGTCCAGGGGCCTACAGCGACAACACTCTGACCAATGATGTGAGACTGACCTGCTGTCCACCAGGCTGAAGCACTTCCCCACCAGTCTCTTGAGATGAGCAGGCCGGAGAAGTTGGCTGGCCTCTAACTCTCATCTGCAGTTTATCTTCTGGAGACTGGTACAGGCCACCAAAACTGTTGCTTAAACTGGGAATGGAAACAGTGTTGCATTACATATCAAATAGCAAGTGTTTTTCGTGAATGCTGTAAATATTTTCATATGTGTAAATAACTATCTCTGTACATAGGTCTCTACCATTTCTGTACTATATTTCTTTCTGTATTACATGTATGTTGTTGTATATTTCTCATGATGTAAATACTCGGGGGGTGGTTACCCAAGTTGGTTAACTTGTTCCTAATCCCTTTCTTCACTGAATAAAATATGTTTAGATAAATGGAAACAGTAGATAACACAGTGATGTACTTGTCACTGACAGCTTGGGGATGGTTGTCACTGCATGTTCCAGAACATAGATCCCTATAATTATTTATACATCACATTTACATCATCAGTCATTTCAAATGCAGCATTTTCACGTATTTCTGGTACTCACCCATAGCTTGATGGCTCATCGACTATCTTCATACTGACCATATCACCATTTACATCTGATAAAGAAGGAATAATACTGTAATACTAGTACTGTAAAACATAAACATCTGGTCAAGGGAGGTAACTCTGGAGCACTTTCTCAAAAGGCATACCGCTAAAATACTACTGCCATTGAACACACATAATGCGAAACGCGACCCACAACCAACGCCCAAAACTTTAAACATTGTGACTCATAATAACTATCACCTAACCAATGTTACAAACTACAAAAAACACTCTCATAACACAGTGTCTGACTACATAATCATTCCTAAATTGCAAAATATGTACATTGGCAGGAAGAAAGTGAGTGGAAGTGGTATTTCAAATTTATATTTCAACTCATAATACATATTTGTCATGTAACAGATAAATCAGTATCTGCTGAGGTCATAAGATGCAAATATGGAAGGTCAGGTAGGTACTATTTTCAGTGCTTATAAACAAACATGGCATTACCTTTGTCAGTTGGCGATCATGTTAAAATCAACCATGAAGAATTACATGAGCCCAAATGTAACTTGGCAAGGGCAGAAACTGGACTTTAATTGTCATTTCACTTCTTGGCCCCAGGATGATGGGACAACTGCCATCACTCTCAATATGATAGTTTGATAATGAAAATCGGTGCAACTTTCTCAACATTGGAAATATACATTGCAAGGACAAGTTAACCTGGAGCAAGCTTGTGGGATAAGTTTCTATATCTGTGCTTCAAGACCTTTGCAACTTGGTGCCTTTTCCCCCAATTTAAAACAGATGGAATTATTGTGTCTCTCTCAGAGACTGCATTTTGTAATGTTATGACAGGCCACAAAACTCTAAAAGAACCTGACATCTCATTGACTAGAGTAGCCTCCCTTTGATAACAAAACCTCACTCAGGAGCAATGAATGGCTGCAAACGGCAAGAAGGCATCGGTTAGTTTGACTATAGTACAGTTCAGCCAGCTAAACAGTTAGCTGGCTGAACTAAGGGGCCGTTCATAATTTATGGCTAGGGGTGGGTGATGATGATGCGTGCTTGCGTGCGTGCTGTGCGTGCGTGAGTGCGTTTTGGTCACCATTTTGTTCTGGGGAGCTATGTTGTTCTGGTAAGCAATTTTGTACACACTTTCAAGCGGGGGTTAGCAATTTTGTACATAAAAACGTCTAAAATCATCCTTAGAAATTATGGGAAGGGAGGGGAGATTGACTTTGTACATGACAAAGGGGGGGTGTCACTTATTTTGTACATAAATTTTAGGGGGGGGGGTTACATTGTACATGCTTCTCCATAAAAATCATCATCACACGACCCCACCACCACCACCCAGCCATAAATTATGAACGGTCCCTAACTATAGTCATGCCACGCATTAATGCATGTATTCAAGGAAAATTTGCAATGTTCAGTTATCGTTTGTGAGATATGGGATTGGTAGCAAGTTTCTCGACAAAAGAATTTGAAAAAGACCTTTCATGATATAAACATGTTTTCAAGTATGTGTGCTTGGGAAACGCTCGGTAACTACAAAGTGACGTTTATATTTCAGACCAAATAACAGCGTTTTCTCAAAGGTTAGCATCCTACACATTCTTTAGTCGCACACAACTTTATTACACTAGTTAGTAATCGATACGTAACGAGGGCGAAGAGACGGAGTTTTGCTAGTATTTAATTGATGAACATCATAAATACCTTTTCCTATGAAGAAAAGTATAAGCAGTAACGTCACAACTAATGTAGGCCTCATTGCTTCGACAATGTTTGTCATGTGGCCAGTCTCTAAACTCTTGACTTGGTTCATAGTAGTAAGGAACATTATTCTTCATGTTGTGATTCCTATCACCCCTGTAAGGAGAAAGCAAAATTCATCGTTTGTTTTCATCTCGGTTCGACGATATTTTACGAGATCTATGGATAAACCCTGACAATCAGATTATATTGTATATATAGCATTGATCTTCATGGAATATATTAATAGGGTTGTTAGACATGCATGGCATTGTTCATTTTAACCTAGTTTGTAAAGTGTAACCTCTTCGCGTAACTTTTGTCACGTGACGTAAAGATGGCGGCGCCCATGAAGTCTAAACACGATGTTATGAAAATGTGAATCTATATCTCTCAGCCACTGATCACATAGGTAAAGTATCGTAGCTACTGATCGCACTGCATACCATTAGTGTTTGATTGTTATATGGGATTTTGAACAACACAATCGGAGGTGATAAAAGGAAATTGACCGACAAGAATCTAGAATTTCGTAACTATACCTACAGCAAACCAGTTATGGGTATTATTTGCATACCTACTCGCTCTGGGGTGGTACCTGTCCTGTCATGTCAGTAAGTAGAACCCTTTGACAGCCATATATCACTTTGTTTAGGTCTACTTTAATATATGTTATAGACATTCCTTTCTCTTCAACTATTTTTGATTGCTTCATTACACAGACACACTTTCTTCTGGATAGTGCATTTTAGTGATTTTAGTGCATGTTTTGTACGTGCAGGAAGGTACTTGAGTTCATTTCTGTAGCCTTTAACACATACTCTTCAGCACTGGTTAGAGGTGTATAATTTGTATGTTTACTCTGCAGCCAAATTATTAATGTTACATATTGCTTTCTTTCTCTGGAAATTCCACTTTTGTGAATTAACTTTTTTGGTCAAATGTTTTTAGGTTAAAAAAGTCACCATGGGCAAGAGCAAAGGTCACAAGCAGGAGAAAGCACATGGGAAGCAAGGCAAGGGAGGTAGTCATCACCACTCAAAACATGATCATCGGAGAAACAGAGTGTCAAAATTTGACCCAGAAAGATTTTCAGAAAATCTGCAAGCTGCTATTGATGGTAATAATTGCAGCATGATTTAGTCACATGAGTAATTTTGTGATTAATGTGATTTTATTCTTAATTATCATTTGCACGTGGATATGCAACTAAATGTTATTGGTTTCATGATTCCTCCATATTTAGTAGGTTCTGACCACATTGGCCTATCAGCATGGTTAGTAAGACTGTAATTAAATGCTGTTAACAATGATTAGATGATGTGATTGATGCAATAGGTTGTGAAGAAGTTCTACTCATTCCTTTCATTCTAAACACCCTTCACAGAATGAGCATATTTAAGCAATTATGTCTTCTTTATGAAATATGAATATTTCAGCATAGTAATTCAGACATGTTTCAGCATCAATATCCAACTAAACCATATCACAGTCTATACAATGTGTGTGAAAATTTATGAGAAGATGTGAATTTTTGTTTGGAATAGTTCTGCTGACTTTGAAATACTGTGTTTGTTTGACTATGAAACATGTTCATTTGACAGACACTGCTGAGGCCAAGTTCCCATGCCCCCCTGGCCATGTGGGACTTGGAACAGTGTGACCCCAAGAAATGCTCAGGCAGGAAGCTGGGAAGGCTGGGATATGTCCGCACACTGAGACTACAGCAGCGCTTTGACGGGATAGTGCTTACACCAGTCGGTACAAGATGTGTGTCTCCAGAAGATAGGTGAGTGTAGTGTGTTGTTTACAGGCGGCAGTAAGGAACTTTGAAGTTTAAAAACTGTGTGAAGGTCCCCTTTTGATGTGGTTTATTTTAACAGGTCCATCTTAATTATGAAGGTTCTTATCCAGGTTAAAAATATTTAAGACCTGAGTATGTCAACTGTAAGAGGTGACTTTATGGACTGTGTGGTCATATTTGATCTCTTGGCTGATTGTGTGTCGTATAAATTACATTTCACCATCATGTGGCTGGAATAATGCTGGGTATTGCATTAAACCGCAGACAAACAATTTATATTACTCCAGTTCTATTGGACACAATGAATATCTCTTAGTTTCCTGTAACAGTGACATCATTGCACAAAGTGGCCTGGCTGTGGTTGACTGTTCCTGGGCAAAATTGGAGGAGACTCCCTTTTCCAAAATGAAGGCTGGTCACCCTCGTCTTTTGCCCTATCTCATTGCTACCAACCCAATCAACTATGGCCGTCCATGCAAACTGTCTTGTGTAGAGGCTTACGCAGCTGCTTTCTATCTCACAGGTAATAATGAGTGAATGTTGTTTTATTCAGCTGTCATCTATGTCCAGGCAGCCTGTATATGTAATCATAGTACTGTTTACTAGTATATCACATCTTGATCAGGTAACTCAGTACTTTATCATGTTTATAGCACAAGCAACAGTTGCCATTCAGATAAGATGTCACTTTGGTTGACCCAGTGTTAGAACAATGTTAGCTGATTTTTAGGATACAGAGTTGTTTTCCTTTGCCATGCCATGTGATTGTGGACTCCCCATCACTATGTTCCTAGGTTTGTCAATATCGTACCCTTGCTTGTGGGTTTAACCAAATATCTAAGCATGCCAAGGGCTGTGTCACTTCAAGATTTCCTCCCACTTGAAGCAGACACATTAGTGTACTAGAATCCCCACATGGGTAAAATGTGTGAAGCCCATTTCTGGTGTCCCCCGCCGTGATGTTGCTGGAATATTGCTAAAAGCGGCGTAAAACCAAACTCAGTCAGTCAGTCATTAGTGTACTATCTAAGGGGAAAGAACTCTTGGCATGTTAATTTATGGACCAGGGATCATGGCCTCAGAAAATGCCTGAGATGTTATCAGTGCTTCGATATGTCTGAAATAACTTCAATTGAATTATCATGTCATGTATAGCACTGGTTGTGAATGGGCAAAGGAGTACTTATTTGAGAAATATTAACCATGACATTCCATTACAATAAGTGCATGATGTGGGTAAATTCTACATTTCAGGATTTAAGGAACTAGGAACAATTCTCCTGTCCAAGTTCAAGTGGGGAAGTAACTTCTACAAAGTGAATGAAGCTTTGTTGGAGAGATATGTGGCATGTAAAACCAGTGCTGAGATTGTACAAGTCCAACAGGATTACCTGGCTGAAATTGCAGATGAAAAACTCTCCAGGAAGGACGTAGGTAAGTGAGTAAGGCTGATCGTCTCCTTGATTATCTCCCTTGTATATGTAACCTGAACTCTCACCATCTTGGCTTGGATCTACATTCACATTTGTGGCATCTGCTGTGCCTGTCCTTGATATATTCTGTCAAATCATGTATAGTATATTTCTGCATTTGATGATAAATATGCATTTGCTGCCATAGGTTTGTTTTTGGTCAAGTTGACACAACACAGAATAGAGACATCTGAACAACTGACAATATGACCAGTACATGTACTTGTAGCATAAAGACTTCCTTCCTAATGTCTTAGGTCTCAGGAAAACATCTTTTCAAGCTAAACATTTATACACTGGATAATCGCATGTGCATGTGATATGTGCATTATCAATGATTAAAATTTACCAGTAGGAACAGCAAATATTGACACAAAAACACAGGACCAGCTAACTGATGTTATGTTTGAATCTCTATTAGTTCATTGTTCCCTGCATTAGAATATTTTACATAGGTGGATGAAAGTATTGTTCCAGTGATACTGTCAATGTATGGTATGGATGACAGTTAATGACCAGCAGCAGTACCTGAGTTGGATGTTTGTGTGTTTCAGATTTCACAGATATTGACATGGACCTAGATATGTGCAATCCAAACAGAGGCTATGACCTCCCACCAGGCTACAGGTGAGGAGTGATTTCTGTCACATTGTTTATTACATGGTCTGAGTGGAACTACATATCACTTGTATTTGTTTCCATTATATATATAACCTACATAATGCATTTGATGGATCTATTTTGTGTAGTGTTCAACTGTTTATTGTCTCGGATGTTATATCACAGATTAATTAGGCTGTGAAACTGCAGAACATAGAAAGTTCAAATCCAGTCTTACTTTAAAACAGTTTCACACTTGTGTTCTTATAGCTCGGATGAAGAAGAAACTGATGATGACGATGATGAGGAGGAGGATGGTGAAGAAGAGGAAGGAGAGGTTGAAGATGAAGAGGAGGGGAAAGAATTAGATTTAGATACAGATGAGAATGGTGAAGTAAAGGAGAGGGGCAGAGAGGTGGAAATACCAGACGTTAAGAATCTGCAGATTAAAAGCACTGATGAAGGTGAATTAGAAAGTCTGTCAGATTCAGCCCAAGTGGACAATATGACCAACATCAGTGGTCATTGTGGTGTCTCATCAGATCTACCACATAGCAGTACAGAGACAACCACCACTGTATCCAGTGTTCAGAACGATGGTGCTGTTACAGACAATGTCACGAAAGGTGAAGGACATACCTATGATAAGGGGTAGTGTCATGTAATCTCACAACAAACTGTATTTATTTTGAATAAATATCTTATCAAATGTCTATGTTGCATAATGTTCTTGATGCAGGTTAACATCAGTCTTCAGCAACCCATGCTTGTTGAACATGGTCAGACTCACTGACTTGGTAGATGCCTGTGACATAGATGGATGCTCATGTTGTCAATCACTGGATAGTCTGGTTCAGGCTTGATTATATACAAACTGCCATCATACAGGTGGAAAATTGCTATGTGCAGCCTGAAACAACCAATAATCAAATACAATGTCCTAACCTATAGTCCGTTTGGGTCAAAAGCGGACCGATGAAGTGCAATCTAACTCGAAAACTAATAAACATAAAATACTCAATGAAACGCTGATCATAATCAAAACATCAGACCAACTCTGTGATTTGTTTGCAGAATTTATGTTCTAAAATTAAAAAAGTTGTTTAACAAACTATCATTAAAATTTTGACACAGTTCACTATTTGTTAAGAGGGAGGAGTGCAGAGAAAGGGACAGCCAGGTGTTAGAGAAGCAAGTGCCGACAATGTTATTGATTCATTAACCTGTGATGTGCCGTCTCCATCCTTTCTCGCACACCTGGCTGTGAGCCTAACGGACTATATATTTATTTCATCCTGACCAGTGGGATAACCAAGTTATTAAAGCACTTGTCACTCAAAATGCGCTGGCTTGATTTTACGAGGGAAATGTGTGAGATCCATTTCTGGTGTCCCTGACCCTGATGGGAACAGTGCAAAAGCCTCACTCACTCAGGAACGAAGAAATGAATGAAGGAACGAACGAGTAACCTGATACTGTGCATTCCTAATTGAATATATTGAAGAACTGATAAAATGCTTAGAGGGCATAACCTCATGGTCATTTTTGTACCCAATGGGGGCCCAGTTGTCTGAGGTACTCAGAGTTGTGCCCCTTGTGTAGGTATGTGGAATCATGGGTTCGAATATTGTTTGCCCAGATTATGTTTCTAAGTTTGTCAGCACCTAGCTCTGCTCATAGAGGTAAACCACTGAGATCTGCATCCAAATAGTACTGACTCGGGCAATAAGCTGAAACGTATGTTGGCAGTGTTGAACCCAACTAACTCACTCAACCACTGGCACATATGGGTAACTGGGCTTGAAACTAACAAGTGATTCAAAAAGGTTTGTCCATTATATGTCAGTCACACCAGAAGAGCATTATAAATTAACTTTTAGCTTCAAAAACTCCCAATTATCATTACTCCTAAAGCAAGTCCCAAAACAAAACGTTGCTGTTGTATGTGGCGTCGACGCTTGGTTCAGTCCCAGGGTAGTTATGTGGATTTTATTCAGTTTTGGATTACTGTATTAGATCAGCATTGCATTACATGTATATATATCGTAGACTGCGTAATTGGCCATGTCTATCGTCCTCTAATATGATATAATTATTCACCATACTTGAATACGCGCGTCATCAGACTATTTATTGTAATGTATATAATTTTTGTATCGTGTCACAAATAGCTAGCCTGTCATAAATGGTTATGCAGACATACTGTGCCCTATATATGCAACCGCCTGCATGACATCAATGTTAAATACCCTTATGGGTATTCTAGTTAGATTCAGTAGCCAGAGACACCGACACCGGTCTGGTGGTCAAGCTCGACATGGGTTGCCTGTCACCGTTCTACTGCTTTGGACCTAGTTTATATGTACCAGTTGTCTGGACTTAGTATGTGCAGGCTGTCGCGATACCAATGGAGTATTGCTGGATGACACATACATTAAATTGTAGAATCATGTCTCACATACTGATAACCCAGATGTATTATTTATCACCACAAATAATAAACATTAAAACACATTCGTTGGCTTCACCAAAGGCGTGAGAGTCTACGACCTGCATCACTTCAGGAGTGAGAGTCTACGACCTGCATTACTTCAGGCGTGAGAGTCTACGACCTGCATCACTTCAGGAGTGAGAGTCTACGACCTGCATTGCTTCAGGCATGAGAGTCTACGGCCTGCATTACTTCAGGAGTGAGAGTCTACTACCTGCATCACTTCAGGAGTGAGAGTCTACGACCTGCATCACTTCAGGAGTGAGAGTCTACGACCTGCATTACTTCAGGCGTGAGAGTCTACGACCTGCATTACTTCAGGAGTGAGAGTCTACGACCTGCATTGCTTCAGGCATTAGAGTCTACGGCCTGCATTACTTCAGGCGTGAGAGTCTACGACCTGCATCACTTCAGGAGTGAGAGTCTACGACCTGCATTGCTTCAGGCATTAGAGTCTACGGCCTGCATTACTTCAGGAGTGAGAGTCTACTACCTGCATCACTTCAGGAGTGAGAGTCTACGACCTGCATCACTTCAGGAGTGAGAGTCTACGACCTGCATTACTTCAGGCGTGAGAGTCTACGACCTGCATTACTTCAGGCGTGAGAGTCTACGACCTGCATTACTTCAGGCGTGAGAGTCTACGACCTGCATTACTTCAGGCGTGAGAGTCTACGACCTGCATTACTTCAGGCGTGAGAGTCTACGACCTGCATTACTTCAGGCGTGAGAGTCTAGGACCTGGCTTACTTCAGGCGTGAGAGTCTACGACCTGCATTACTTCAGGCGTGAGAGTCTACGACCTGCATTACTTCAGGCGTGAGAGTCTACGACCTGCATTACTTCAGGCGTGAGAGTCTACGACCTGCATTACTTCAGGCGTGAGAGTCTACGACCTGCATTACTTCAGGCGTGAGAGTCTACGACCTGCATTACTTCAGGCTTGAGAGTCTACGACCTGCATTACTTCAGGTGTGAGAGTCTACGACCTGCATTACTGACTGTGGAATTGCTTCCAGTGAGCGATTCAGTTTTGCTACTAAAATGCGTTTTCAAGTTATCATTTTTTCGTCCTGTTAAATTGTGATCTGCGTTCCACTTCACTTTTGGTCAGATGTTGGATTATGACTAATAATCGCAATTTGTGTTGAATTAACACCCACTATGCTTACCTTTTGAATAACAGTATGTAACAAATGTGAGAAACATCAACAAAAAATATGGTTACAGTTTGTGGCGTCTGGCGCCAGGGGATATAACATTGTAAATGTGTTGTAACCTTTACCCTCTTGTGGATATAATTGTTCAGGCCAGTCGATAATCTCTCTAACCCCTCCTTGGCCCACGTATTCAGAACGTAGTCCTTGGATTAGCTGGATAAAGCTTTGGATTAACGCCAAGATTTGCCTTAGCGTTGGTCCTCGAGGTTCCATTCTGAATACGGTAGGGTGGTGTTTTTTTCTTCGGTACACTTGATATGCCACTTAAATACGGTATTGTTTCAGTATTATTACAACGTGAACATTTAAATATATGTGTAGTGTCTGACGTCTCACCCTGGAAACTCTTGGTGTCTCAGAACGTCACTGCGTTTCACTTACAAGCTGCAGAATGGGCTAAGGCAGTTTAATTCTATGTACAGAGTTGCGTCCCTTTGTTACCAGGATCTAGCGGTCCTGAACAACAGTTCAAAGGCCGATCGAACACAACTCTTATTTTCGTCCGCAACATACGAGCGTTTGAGCACCACCGAGCACTACTGCCGTGAAATAAGTGAAGTACTCTTTAAAGTGGCTTTTGAACCGCAATCCGCTCAAACAGAGTAGTTTTATGAGAATGCTGAAGGTGATGTGTATGGACAAATTAAGGTATTCATGTAAACTAGCTCTGGGTGCCGTTGTACAAAGCAACCTTAGCGCTACGTCAGTCGTAAGTCTGTGTTAGGGTATGGGAGTTACGATCACCTTAGCGCTACGATCGCTTTGTACAACGGCACCCTGGCCGATTAGTCATATCTAAAAGTGTCGTGAGGCGTTTGGACAACTGAGATACAAATCTCAACACTGGACCGGTTTTGGATGCTGAAGAGATCTTTCAATCAACTGTCAAGTGTGAGCGGCTAATGATTCGGTCTGTAGAATATGCGACAATCAAAATACGTTTCAGTGTACTTAAATGGCGATATCCTGTAAGATAATATGTGTATACTACGTGACATGACGTGACGAAAACATGCGTGACGTCAGCTGTATTGAAATATTAGCTGTCAGCGTGGTGATCGTGATCTCCGCTCGGAAAGAAACCCTCCCCGTGACCTGCCAGGTGCCAGGCCGCTGTACAAAACAATATTCTCAGCCGCTCATGGCAACCTCTAAAATGAAACAGCGCGACCAAATATTGCAGCTGATCGAGACATTAGATAATCTATATTGGCTTCTTGTAGTGTGTTTATATAGCGCATAGATATGATAAATGTGTCTGTTCGTTCCTGCTGGGGTGGTGGTGTAACCTTGTGGTTCAACCGTTCGGCCGTCAAGCCGAAGGCCCGGTTCAATTCTAAGTAAAACAGGTAAAAGATCCTTGTGTTCGTCGTTGTGATGTTAGAACGGTTCTGAAAGCGGCGTGAAACCATACTCAGCTCTCTCGTTTCATCTTATTATTAGAGAATAAATTTAAAAAGGAGCCCAAGTCAAGTCTAGAATGTTTGGGCAAGTATATATATTGCCCCATCCTCGATAATCTCAAGGGTATACGTTCCGATAATATATTGTGGAGATTTATCTGAACGTATACCCTGGAGATTATCGAGGATGATATTGCCCCATATCTAGCAATTGGTTAGTGGCTGAAATTAAACATCAGGCTTCATTTGGGTTTTTATAAATTTCATAGATATATATTTTAAAATAAGATAAGTTTATTTCTGTTACAAAATGTCCGTCACGATCTGGGGTAGTAGCAGGGGCATGTTAAAAGCGCTGCAGATGGCAGTATTCTAGAAGCGTTATCATACGATACATGCCTCTGTAAACAGTTGGTGATTAACACGTTAACCTATGATAGCCAGAATCATACATTCAGGCTGATATCCTGTCATCACTTTATCGGAAATGCTACCTGATGTAGAGAAGGGGTAATTAAAAGTGGGTTACATGTGCGAACACCGTTAACCTGTCTGTGGGTAAAGTCTGTGGTCTATTGTAGGACAGGAAACATGAGGTTATAGGTAAGGCAATACGGTAGCTTAATCCCCGTGCATGCTTCCACATATAATATATACACACACAGACATGTTTCTTTCCGCTCTTAGGTAGGCAACGAGCGTTCATTCAAAGCTCTGCTTAATCCCAACGGAGGATTGCGTCATTGTGTCATTTCAGCGTTCGGGAGTTTCTTCCATGTGTTCCTGCCTGAGGTATTCATTAACATATACTACTCACACCTTGATAAGAATCACAAAAACTCGGAACTTTACTATAACGTAGATAAAACTGGATAAATAATGACATGGTAACACATCTTTAGGAAAACAGCCACTTTAAGCTAACCTTATGCACTTGATACATGGGTAACCGTAAAAATGGTTTTCGTGGTACCAATCAACCATTTTGCAAATCATGGCACGGGCCATTGACAAGCACACACGTGTCAATAGCAGGTATGGGATCCACAAGATGCAGTGACATACAGAAAGCTTGGATCCATGTCTACAATAGGCTTAGATATTTAAACCAAATTTAACATAGTTTTCCACATCATAGTTTTCTGTTGAATCAATGATTTGATCCTTAGCAAAGCCCTGCACCTCCCTTCTGGATCAGCCTATGGCAATGTTCCCGTAGTTTTCGTAACGAAACTTGCCTTTACGTGTGTTAGTGACTTGAGCCACTGGCGGGGATTGATATCATCACTGTTTGATACTGATGTGTGTATGGGTTTTTGTGGGTTCATATGTGAGTACGTGTGTGTGTGCGTAAGCGTGCGTGCGTGCGTGCGTGCGTGTGTGTGTGTGTGTGTGTGAGAGAGAGAGAGAGAGAGAGAGAGAGAGCCATATAATATACATAAAAGCAACTCAAGAAATTGATTCCACACGTTTATGACCAGAGATCAATGTCATCGTGAACACTGCATGACATATGAGTACACCAGTATTTATAAGTATATACTACACGCTTTAACCCTGAGTAAACAAACGTAGATTATATTTCGCCCTCCAATATGTAAATAGAAATAACATCTGTAAAATCATTAAAACCATCTGTCACGGGATATATTACAAGTTAGGCAGTATCACACGGTATCAAGAAATCAAAGCACAACACGCAATAACAATATTAAAAACAAAATATTCAAATATACAGTAACTCGGTTAAAGCCCAACTTGAGTGAGTGAGTGAGTTGGGTTTAACACCGCTGTGAACAGTATACAGTGCCATCACTTAGTGTCTGGTTAAAGTGGGAGGAAAGCCCGAAGGGGTTCAAGTCCTTGACACGTACCAACCAACAAACATGGAAACGCTGCTAAGAAAGCTTTGGGTGAATCACCGACTCGAACGTACAATCACAGGTTTCTGGCATGAGTGAGTGAGTGCGTTTAGTTTTACGCCGCACTCAGCAATATTCCAGCTATATGGCGGCGGTCTGTAAATAATCGAGTCTGGACCAGACAATCCAGTGATCAACAACATGAGCATCAATCTACACAATTGAGATACGACGACTTGTGCCTACAAAGTCAGCGAGCCTGACCACCCGATCCCGTTAGCCGCCTCTTACAACAAACATGGGTTGCTGAAGATCAATTCTAACCCGGATCTGGCATGAAATATACAAAGGCTCGAGTCTATCGTGTCTGTAATAACGGCGATCTGGGTTTAACGTGGTATGAACGGTATAGTAATGACGTCAAGGTTTTTGTACAGATGAATAACGTCATATCTTTATCATTACACCACCTATTTACCATGACACATTTCTTGACATACAATGGTATCACACACTGACTGACTTGTGTCGATATGCAGTTTAATATTCCAATGGAGAGGGTCCAGTTGTTAATACGCTTTATTATCATTGCGTCATCCTCCTACACGGCTCATGCTCCTACCACAAACTCACACGCACACGCACATATACCCTCCGTTTGCCATACACAAACACATACGCACATCCTCGCCCATTTATTTTCGATAAACCCTGTAAGTTTGTAGGTTATGTATAAACATACATTAAAACATTAAAATCTATATACCGATTACATATTTTGATGTTTTGATAATCAAAATAATGCGCACACAAGCATTTATATATATTATCCACCCACTTATTCCCAAATATCAACATTATTACGCCAATTAGTTTACCAGAATTCATTCTCAACTTCCTCGGGAGTATACAAGCCAAGGTGCCCGTCAGGCGGTAGATGGTTAACAGTACACACAATACCTGGTCAGTAAACCAACCTGTAGTGATGTGACATACACTATACGGTCAGTGTACACATGTATACCACATAGCAGTATTCTGCATACATCCAACCTTGTCACTTGCCTCATAATGATGTTGTGTGATGAACACTGGGATAACACAATCAATGAGTACACGCATCCAGTGTCTGTGCGTGTGCGCGTGTGTGTCGTTTCAAACATACAGGTCTATGTTATTTTTCGGATTTGGTAGCAAGGACGAGGTAGGATAAGATCCGTTTTGGCCAACTTGAGATGTAAAATCCAAGTTGAGTAAAACTTTAAAATATGAACTTGAAGACATATTCAAATAATTACTGCCAGCCATTTTCTCTCTTCAGTTACAAGTTCTGGTCATCTGGCATTTTCAAATACGTACATCTGGCTAAGCTGAGAGAGATATAAGATAATTCAACAATGAGCATGTCCCGACCAAAGACGAATCGTTTGCCGAGTGTATTTGATTACAGAGGTATCATAAGTCGACTTTTAACAGAGAATTCGTGGGAATATGGAAAGTGTTTTATCGTGTATACTAGTATTTTAACTAGTTCTTCAAGATTCTTTTGTCAAAGAAAATCAGCTTGAATCAAACAGTTGCTCACGTTCATATATCAGAAATCTCACCCTATTATCAGCCTTTTTAAGGACACATTCTAACATAACCAAAATGTTTTAGTACAAAATGCAATAGTTCAGTATAACCAAGTCTTACTGCCATTGATATCACACATCTGGTAACCTTCATACTGACTTGTAAAGGTTTTCCTGATTTCCTAAGGCATGTAGAGACCCAAAGGACCGCTGTTCTAAGTTCCCTGACTTGACATGCATATACGCGATCTGATTCCATGTCTGCAGTTTTCGACGTGACATGAATAACTGAGTCCTCAGCATTTTCGTGCGACAGCCGAACAGGTAATCTATTCATATACCACGAACGTCACAGATATGATCACGGTACATGAATAAATAAAATCCAATTAAATATCAACAATGATTCTCTTCCATTTTACGTATAACCACATCTGTCCTGATTACGGCAGACATTGAATGCAAGAATTACATTGAACCGCATAGAATAGCAAACAGCCAGGCTAAGTTTCGGTATAATTGACGCCATTTAGTGTTTGTGAAACAATTAATATTTTGATTGTGCATAATGATACGCTGCCATTACTTATCATATTTATTCAAATGCAAAATGGACGTAATACTAACTTGCTAGTATATTATCTGACAGGTTATTATAAACGTAATATAATCTTTACCACATACTGACACTATAGGCCAATTTTCTATAGGCTTAGTGACGTTCGAACATACACAAATGTACATTGTAACAGTGAGGCAGGGAGCCATAGGTCGTGTATATTCGACAATAACTTTGGACGGGTCCGGCGACCTTCACGCGAGTTTTGTACATGAAATGTATCTCGACCTTCCTTATCATCGCGCACTCAAACACCGGTGCAGGTCATGTCCGTTCAACCAAACCTGGATATCCAATTACAACATGGGTTTTGAGAAGACAAACTATTTTCATGAATCTAACTAAAACTTTCAAGGGAAATATTCTTTCACCACAAGTGTTTGTATTAGTATACATGGATGCATACATACGCGCACATACACACACATACATACACGCACACACACACACACGCACACGCACACACACACATACATACATACATACATACATACATACATACATACATACATACACACACACACACACACACACACACACACGCACGCACACACACACACATACATACATACATAATGTGTTTTTTTTAAAGAAACCGGTAATGATCACAAATATATGCAACTATAATAAAATGAAGTAAAACTTTATAAAAACCGAGTTACTGAACGGAATCAGATTTCTTTTTCTAACAGAATAAAACGCACATATTTACAAAGAATATACATGTAGTGTACATACGTAACAATAGGAAAACTATGTCACTATGACGTCAGCAGTCTGTTTTGGAGAACCAGGTTGGGGTGGAATAACACAACATATTGAGGAGTTCCGGTGATGTAGGCTAGAGGTAAGCAGGCGGTCCAGGTATCTGTATCACTGGGAAGAGGTATTCTGACGGTAATAGAAGAACCAGATGTTGTATTGGCACTGGTTCAACCAGCGCATGCACAGACGTGATGCACGCGCGAGGAGCTCCACATAATGGCTATGTTTACACACGTACCTCCATCACAGGATAACAAAATATCACACACCAATAGTGACGGTATCAATCTCGGAAATGTAAACCCTCCTCCAACGAAACTGCAATGTCGTTGATGATGAAATCATCGTCATAGTCTAAACACTGGGATAACACAATCGTTGCTTTTACAGTCATATCGCCAAAAATGGCTTGAGACTGTTTTGCAAGTCGATCCTTGAGCGTCCGTTTCGTCTCCTCGGCTTCGTCCTTGTGTATGGGTTCTGATATGAATGTCTGAATCTTCCTCCCTCCTTCTATGTACCTCCATCGTATACTCCCCAGCTGATCCTTCGACATTAATCCGGCTCCCAAAGGAATTCCATTCACAAGTCGGGGGAGCTTTTTGAAACACGAGTTTGGAACGTCCGAGTCACTATACACTGGTTGGAGAATGATTTGGAGCATAAAACACTGTTTCTCATCGTCCTCGCTTTTTAGTCTTGATCGCACCATTTTCCCTACTTCGTGGGGCGATATTGTAAACATGGATGTGTACGACATCGCAACAAATCCGGCAACTTGTCGTCTGCTACTGGGAATCGGACCCGGGTAATCGAGTTGCAAGGGGTTGTGGGAAGGGAGACCGATCTCGCACCAGGATGCCAGGGTGGTAGCTGGTCGAATGCCCTTGAGTTAAAATCTTACACGGCTTTCAATGCCGCCTTCTCGTGTCAAATCCAGACTTGTTTCTGTATTACCCTGCTACAGTACGTCCATGAACTGTTCAGTAATAGCAGACGACAGTACGGAATGTTGACTACGTCTGTACTGACCCGCCTGGTATACGCGCAATGCTGAAGGGTAATCACAACCAACCACTTTATATAGAACCGCTCTCTTCCTCCTTGCATTACCAGGGCTTACGTCCATATTACAGATTCACGTAGAACAATAGACTTTAGAAACCTACGTAACCCTAATCTAAAGTTTAGCGGGTGGTCGGGGACGTCTAAGCTCCTGGTGCAATTCTTTCCGTTATAATGTATTGAGTACTAATCCAGTCTCGCGCACCTCGAGACGGTGCCTGCACATGCATGCACAACGGCAACGTAAAAGTCTTAATCAATAAGCGGTGGTTATACAATAACGTACAAGATTAAGCCTTACAGGTGGAGTCTGTGGATAACGCCCAGGGGAGTAGGGGCACGTACAAGTACATACCAACATGGTCGTGAGAAACAGATAAGTAAAAATAGTTCACCACATGGCAATTCAGGGCTGTATAACCATCAATCACTGTCGTGGGGTATTGTGTGCACTTACAAACCGTTGATTAAAGTACTCTTACTTCTATTTCTGTGTGTTTGATAGCAGAGCAATATAGATTAACACGGGGCATGTCAGTCGGGGCTATATATAATAACTTAAGTGTACACTTGAACCTCGTGAAAGCAAAACTCACACATTCCGGGCACATAGGACCCGTAAGGTACTTTTGTTATACACTTGCGAGAAGGGGTGTGGTAGGGTAGCCCAGTGGTTAAAGCGTCCACTCGTCATGCCGAAGACCCGGGTTCGATTCCCCACATGGGTACAGTGTGTGAAACCCATTCCTGGTGTCCCCGCCGTGATATTGCTGGAATATTGCTAAAAGCGAAGTTAAACTGACTCACATGCGGAGAAGTGATCACTCCACTGTTTTGTTGCAATCAACGTCTCAAAAAGTTATCATTTAAAAAACTTACGTATTTTTACAGTACTGGTTAAGTGATGCTAAAGCTTGAGCTATCTCCTTGGACATAAACAACAACTCCACCAAGGTGTAAACATATGTATTGATTCCAGTGTATAGAACAGACACCCGTCCCAGGATTTCTATATTCCTTATCTTGAACTAACCAAGGTTTAGAGGCAGAGGAATAACCCATCAATGCAGTGAAGTATATTTGATTAAAACATGTTGTTCAGGAGAATTAAAAGTTAGTAATAATGATTGCCTTTATATTATTATATCATTAAACATACGTTTATTAGCGACATATATTACAAATTGATATGATGTACATATCCAGACAGTTCAGGTAACATCCAGTAATACATGAAATATAGAGCATATATACATACATAGTTTGTTATTAGTGTGTATATCAGCTTCTATTTATGATTTAGTTACAATATGACTCTAATGTATATACTCGCAGTACAGTTCGGCAACACACGCCATGGTGGCACACGAAACCTGCATCGATATAGTGTTGGGTGGTACATGCTTTAAATTTAACTTATTTATTCATATGATTTAGAGAGTATTCAATCAAACAAACTGCCGGGGAAAAGAAAATATGCTTTAGCCAAAATATTACAGGTCAAACAGATGGAGGATGAGTAAGATGAGCTATGTATGCTGATGACCTACCGTGTATATACATGTGCAACTCGGGAACAACAGCCTTGTAACAATGACGATGTGTCACTCTCACACAAGTCAAATAACATTAAACGCAAAAGACTTTTCAATATTTTAAATTACACTCTGCCCCTTTACAAAGAGACGGTATCCATACGGGTAAAGATTAGAATAATTATATTGTCAATCTTCCGTGACAACAAACGAGGTAGTTAATTGAGACAGTCCTAGAAAACGTAATTAACGACCCTAATTAATCCCAGACCCCAGGAACTCAGAGGGTGGTCATTACATGATCCCGAAACGTTCTGACTGTGACAATTAGTAAATCATTATTCTTGGGATTCATTTCAACGCTTAATAGATGTAGCAATTCCTGTGGAGATCAACCTGTGTACATTGAATCATTAAACATCAGTAGTCCAAACAGTTGACATGTTTCATGTTTGATGTACACAGAAATACTTGCCATCATGTAGATTTGCCTATAAACAAAAACTACCCACAAGACTGCTTAAAGAAAGCCACACCTCAAATTGTCTTCCCCTGTCAAACTGATTTACCTCTTGTGGACCGCCTCCGTGGAGTAGTGGTTAGAAGGTCGCGGGTTCGATCCCCGACCGCGTCATACCAAAAGACGCACATACACATACACACGCATGCACGTCGTCATATGAGCGAAATATTCTCAAGCACGACGTTAAACCCAATTTCACCTCACCTCACCTCTTGTGACTTAGGGACCGTTCATAATTTATGGCTGAGGGTGGGGTGATGATTTTTATGGAGCAGCATGTATAATGTGAGTGACTCCCCCTAAAATATATGTACAAAGTAAGTGACCCCCTGCATATCATGTACAAAATCTATTACCCCCTCCCTTCCCATATTTTAAGCATATTTTTTAAAGTAATCTAAAGTACAAAATTGCTGACAAACACACACACACACACACACACACACACACACACACACACACACACACACACACACACACACACACACACACACACACACACACACACACACACACACACACACACACCTCCCCAGAACAAAATGGGTGCCATACATCCACCCCCCTCCTTAAAATCATCATCATCAAATTTGCCATAAATCATGAACGGTCCCTTAGGAATGAAAATATTCAGACCCATCATCATAAGCAGTACAAAAAGCATGCACCTGGTGCACAGAATCTGAATCTGACAAAAATTCATAAAACGAAACAGTTTAAAAATTGAGACAATCTTCAACAGAAGTACACTTAAATCAACAAAGAATATGAAATTAGCTTATATACCGCGTGCTGCTCTACAGCAACTGTGTGGTAACTAAGAGTGTCATTACTGTTACCTTGAATTCTTCATGGTGGGGCGGTGGGGTAGCCCAGTGGTTAAAGCGTTGGCTCGTCACGCCGAAGACCCGGGTTCGAATCCCCACATGGGTACAATGTGTGAAGCCCATTTCTGGTGTCCCCCGCCGTGATGTTGCTGGAATATTGCTAAAAGCGGCGTAAAACCAAACTCAGTCAGTCTTCATGTATTTGGTTTTAGCAAGTTGCACCAGAGAAGGGAATCGAATCACGTATTGTATGACGAAGTAACCCTTCTATTACTTGTCCACCCGTATAAAATCTCTTTTAAAAACCACCAAGCTCCATATTTTACGGTTTGCACAGCGTCTCTAGTCGAGTGTCTCAACTCCTACACAGAGGGCACTGAAGTGTGGATTCGGTGGCCACAATGGCGGTCAGCGTTTGCCCTTAACCCAGAAAAGCTACAGGCCCTATGGCCCGAGAAAAAGTTGTTGGTCCTGATTAGAATGTGTAGTCATATATTTTAATATGGAAGCAATACTTTTATCTATTGGTGATGAAGAAGCTATCGGCCATAAGGACCTGCAGAAAACCAAAGCTGCGGGTGTGAGTGGTTTTCAGTCGGCTTCGGGCATAAGGACCAACGTTAATTTCGAATGCTGGCGGCTGTGAAGGGTGTATAAAGCCGCTTTGTAAGACCAAAAAATGAAACAAACTTGGCGTTTCAGTAACGCTGATTGTGTATCATCGTTTACTGGTCAACGTAATGCAAATTTATGACGTTCATCGACTACCGGTCTGACTGTCCCAGACATGGCTACTTTCTATAGGTTCGTAAACACATATTTTATCCCCGTTCAATACCTCTCTCCGTGACATCGGGGTGAAAGATCTGATCTGAACAGGATTTAATTAGCTGCGGCAGTGTTACTTGTGGCGTCAAACCTCGCCAATTGTTTAGGACAATCAACTACATTTTCATGACAGAATATCGTACAACATACAGGGGTTAGCGTGTGTGGGGCACTCGTACAGAGCCGACTCCACTCGACGGCCGAACACCAGGGAGAGTTTGGACAGACCTGTCTCTAATGTGGTGTACATGCATTACGTAGACATCAGAGTCAGTAGACATAGAGTCATTGCAACATTAATAAATTATTTATTGTAATACTTGTGTAGTCTTATTATCATGATATGTTTTATTAAACACAACCTATTTTCTGTAGACTAACTCGATTATCAACTGGTATGTTCACTCACTCACTCACTCACTCACTCATATCAAACGCTCTTTGTTTCGATTCCATTCTCATCGCAACTTTATCAGTTTAATTTGCTGTTGTCAGACGATTCAGTCACGTCACAACTACCTAGTCATTCTTTCATGCTGTCCCACTCCTGTCGTGGGTCATTCTGTAGACCGACTGTACTGGGTCCTATCTACCGGGTGAACACACATGTATATGTAAAAAGCGATATACGCACATCTAAATGCGTGCACCATCAGTGGAACCAGTGAAAAGTTTCAAATCCTTGTAAATCCACCACTCTAGCAGACTACGGAGTTAATTAAGCTGGGGTTATCGTACTTAATTCTTGAGTCTATTCAGCCAGAACAGTCTCACCGCAGGCCACAGAGGGCAACCTGTAACATGGCATTGAAAGGAGTTGACAGGTGAAAACTGACTCCGATCGACCGTTCGTACGATTTGTTCGTAAGCCAATCTAGATGTAACATGTAGATACACGTAGACGAGACACGTGATCAGGACCAAAGGGATTGATCATTAACAAAGATTACTCTCGAAGACTCCTGCGATAATGTCACAACTGGGCACAATATGGAGCTTTAATTGGTGACGGGTTTGAAATATAGTACTGAGACACATTGACATATATCTATATACACTCATATGTAATTACCTGCATGAATGGCACGCGCCGCCAGGAGATAGGTGGATGTTATAATTACTTGATTTAAAGATCCGCCGACCATAAATTTCACAAAATTGGATTACAGTTTCATTACTCCGTATTTTCCCTGTCAGAGTGCTGAAGGCAATAATAAATAACGCTTCAGTTGCTCTCCCTCGCTCACGCACCCTGTCACTCTCCCTCGCTCACGCACCCTGTCACTCACGCACAGTATTTTGATAGCACCTAGCAGTAACCTTGTACGGCCATGTTAGTAAATGTTCTGAAAGGGGACTTGTGTAGTTGCACAAGTCTCTAGGGTAATAATTAAAAATTTAAATGAAAATTTATTAAAAAAACATAAATAACAGA